TGCAGTTAAATTATTGGAGAAATTGAGGTTTTTACTAATTTACAACTTTCTTATAGCTAAAATATGATGCAATAAAAGGAAAATCCTAAGTAATTTGACTAAGATTACATGTAAATTAGACAAGAACGGGTCGAGAATGGGGCGGGTCAGGGCAGGTCGGGTTGATGAGACTACCCATGTCCGCTCCGCCCCGCCTACGGGGCGGGTCGGACCCTCCCCGAAACAGGTCAAACAGGTCGAGTAACACGGGTCAGGTCGAAATTGCCATCCCTATGTATAGTATTATGTTAAACTACGAGTACTGGTATATAATTGATTAGAGTTATATTCCTTGAATAGTAGAAGTTAGATAATTTCCGTAATAGTGTTAGGGTTATTGTTGGGAAAGGTTCGATCTTTGATCGTATACTAACACATACAAGAGGTTCATCTCATATTTATGGGTCCAACAAGTTCGTAAAGGCAATTTCAATACGGGCAATCATGATTTAAAGGTCCTTGTAGAAGTTCACGGCATGTGTTTCGGCTATAACCCACCAAGGCAAGTGTTATAAAACTGGAGATCCATCTACAATTCAACATGCCCAGAAATCTTTATCATTAAATGCAACTTTCATTTTGCTCATTCATGGAGTTGTATTTAGTATCTCTAAGAAGCCACCACACTTTATTAATGAAATTTACAAAATGGGTGGACCAACTCGCCAGAAGACACCCTCACAAAGTATCGAGCGAGCCGTGCCAGACACATCCAGTAGTTTTATAAGGAAAGAACACTCTCTTTTTAAAAAAAATTCATGGTTTCCCGGTAGAACCCCATTTCGCCCCAAGTTCTTTCTGAGATGAGCCTCAAAAAGATATAATTAATCCAAAATTTCAATTCGTTGTCGTATTTTTTTATTCGGGAGATGAACCAGACACAATTTCTACTCATTCCCTTCCTAAACAAACTATAACTCCATCCTTATGTAGGATATTTAATTTCTCGGTTCCTTCTTGCCGACCTAATACATGAATACTCGAAACTAAAGTATTCTAGATGAAGATAGATTACCATCCATTATATTTTCCCATTTTTTGTTATGAGAAAGTGGACCATAGCAAATTTGGTTTTGGGCATATCTCATTATCTCGAGATTTCCAATGCCCTCCCCTCCCTCCACGAAACTCCCATCCAACCCCCTCACATCATTTCATAAGAAAAGAAATAAAACATGTTCTAGTTTGAAGAAGTGTCTAGGTCTTTTCCATTAATTAATTAATTTCCAAACCCGCCCCACATGTCCCTTTGTGCCTTCCTTTTTATTTTCCCCTGACCTAATTTTGTAGAATTCTTCCATAAATAACAAAACTTTGTAGAATTTTCATAGTTTTATTTGAGAATTAGTAGACATATTTGTTTGAGATAGTCATTGATCCTAAAAGAAACTCCCTAGAGACTATGTCACATTCCTAATAATTCAAATTGTTGAGAGAGGTCCATCTATGATACTTAATAACTTCTTTATAAAATATTTTATAAGCTCAACATTGATGCAAGATGCACACAACTCTAGGATGGTGTGTACAACCAAGTAGTTCAACTACTTAATGTGTTGAACTAAATTAAAAGAGGCTTAGACTTTCTAACGATCTTTTTATCCTATAATGAGTAGAATCTAATTAGATGGAAAAAAAGAGGATAGAGAATCCATAATTAATTAGGATTGAAGTTGTTCTCTTAGTAATTTCCTCGACTATCTTCCACTTTTATAAAAAAGAAGGATGGATGCAAATAAATGTAATCGAGGGGTGGCATTTAATTTCCAAATGTCCATTCATCTCATATTTTCAAGTTCTAGAAGCTTATTGAGGTATTTTGGGCATCCGTGGTTTAAAAGGTCCATATAGAAATTGAGGAAATGAACCGTGTTTTAGCTTAAACTCATCGAGTTAATTAAGTCTTATTGGGCTCACAATATACAGACTAATTAGGAAATGAATTGAAGAGTAGAAGTCCTCTATCGGGTTTTTTTTTCTTTCTCAGGTGGCAGACTAATTGATACAATGTACATTTTCTCCCTCAACCTAAGAGCCAAGAGGAGTTCAAAACACAACCAAATGTATGCTTACTATAATGAGCGATGAAGGGATTATGATTTAGAGTGAGAGAAAGGTTAGGATAAAAGCAATTACAATACTGAATCTAAATCTTAAAAAAGAGATTTCATATTGGTAGTTTACCATCCTATCATTTTTCATTAATATATGCTTAACATAAACATACACAAATGGTAACATTATTACACCATACCAAACATAGAAACATAGCCCTCCCTAACCAAAATTTAAGTCTTAAACTGAATCTAAATCTTAAAAAGGAGATTTCATATTGGTAGTCTACCATCATATCATTTTTCATTAATATATGCTTAACATAAACATACACAAATGGTAACATTATTACACCATACCAAACATAGAAACTATAGCCCTCCCTAAACAAAATTTAAGTCTTAATTTCCTCACTGAACTAATACATGAATGCTCAAAATTCAAGCATTCTACTTAATTACCATCATTCCTTAAACCCCCACTTAATTTGATGCTCAAGAGGAATAGATTACGTTTTACTACTCACATGGAATGAAGATGGATTACTATCCAACTGAATTTTCCATTTTTGGTATAGAAAAAACGTGGACCATAGCAAATTTGTATTTTTTTTTGGGGGTATATACTATATCTCATTATCTCGAGATTTCCAATGGCCTCCTTAGCTCCACGAAACTACCATCCAGTTATCCCTCACATCAAATTTCATAAGAAAAGAAATAAAAACACGTTCTAACATGAAGAAGTGTCTAGGTCTTTTCCATTAATATCCAAGCACACCCCACATGTCCATTTGTACCTTCCTTTCATTTTCCCCAAACCTCATTTAGTAGTATTCTTTTCATAAATAACAAATATTTGTACGATTTCTATACTTGTTTGAGATAGCCAATTGACCCTTTCACAGGAGCTAAAGAGCCTCTCAACTCAATGGATGACAACGCATTTCTAGTTCATGTCGGTCCACATAGATGATTCACAAGATCAAACGGATGTGGGGTCGTAGGTTAAGGTTAGAATGCAAGTCAAACCGGTTTATACCGTTATGCCGGTTTGGCAAGTGGAATGGTACGACCGGTGGTATAACCAGTTTGTGCCGGTTTAAAAAAATATGAAAATAATTAATATCCAATGTATTTAATCATATATAAAACATATTTGTGTACAATTTAGTTACAATCCAACAAATATCATCAATTTTTAACTATTAAATTCATAAAATGAATAATAAATTAGTTTTTTTATTAATTAAATTCATTAAAATGATATCATTTTGCTTAGAATGCGTAAGTCGATCATACCGGTCATACCGGTGGTGTCATACCGGTTTTATGACCGGCACAGATTGAACCAGGTTCAACCGGGTGGCATGCCACCGGCATGACAACCATGTTAGAATGAAATTGAAGTTTTTTCTAGGAAGGAGGAACGGGAGAGTAAAATCGCGTTTTGTTTTGAGTTTTGCTGTAAAGGATATTGGAAAATTTAATGTGGAACACCCAACACTGTAAAAGATAAAAAAAAAATTGATATTATGATTTTTTGTTTAAAATTTGTACTCACTTTAAATGAAATCCTGACTACGCCACTGAAGAAGAGCCCAAACTATATGAATCGACTCGACAAATTTATAACCATAACCAGAAGCGATATAATGAATATGTAGCCTACAAACTTTCGATTCGGGTGTTACTTTGGACTAGGTGAGTTCAAAACTTTGTAGTTTAGTTGCAACCTTCTTGTCTTAACCAGGTTTCTATGGTGGATAATAGTAACTAAAATTCACTTGGCACGGGTAATCATAATGCTAAACCATGATTGGACCACTAAACTCTAAAATAAGCAATGAGGTGATGTGACCTAAGGATGGCAATTTGAATATGTTTCACTGGGTATTACCCAACCCGACTCGTGATGGGGTCAGTATTACCCAACCTGCAGTAGTGTGGGGTCGGTCATGGATATCTACTTCCGACTCGCCCTGCCCTCGTCCCGTTCTTGGCCCATTGTATCTAAATTTCTTATAGAATCTTTTCATATTTTGACTTTTCTTCAACTAATTAGACTTAATTTTTCAACTAGTTAGACTCAATTACCCATTATAACATCATTATTTTCATTCATAGAGTGTTTTTCCATCATTTTATCGTAAAAAATTAAAATTTTAGATATATATTTTCAAATAAATTGAGAGTGGCCGACCACCCCGCCCCGCACCCGGGCGCAAATTACCCGTCCGACCAGCAGTATCGTGAAGTAGTGCATGGATATTAAGGTACTCTCCCCGCCCCATTACCATCCTTGTGACCAACCATCCATATAGAACCATAATACGACAACCAATGGAGTGGGCTGCAAGCTACTAAGACAAACACTTCGGCCCTTGGAGAACATATTCAGACTTATAAAACAAGTTGCAATTTGGACCCAGCCCATTTTCCATGACTTTGTTTTGGGGCCATGGAATGGCCCAAATAGAGACCATGGTAATTAGTGATTACCCAGCGTTCTGGTGGGCTTTTATATTTGGACTCATGAGAATTCATTTTTGGGCCCTCTCATTACTAAATACTAATTCGAGCTGGGGTGGAAATCGACAAATCACTACAATATTGTTATTCCGATGCCAGAATTGCACCTTAAAATTAATCTCAATTCCTTATTAGTTTGGTATCCTAATTACAATCCATAAATATTTTGGTATCTCAATCGGTATTGTCGGTATCCCAATCGGTATTTGCAATTAATAATTAAATATATAATAAATTAGAGTATGTAATCTTCTTTATCTTTAAAAATATTAAAGGCGTTTAAGATTCGACCGTTATTTGTTCCTTTTGCAGCCGAGAAACCCGTTACTATTCCCCACGGCGACGATTTCTTTATCTTCCTTCCTTCACCCTCACTACGCCTTTGATCTTCTATTTGCAGCCGGAAAACCCACAGAGCTGTGTTTGGAAAATGGGTTTTAGCCATGCTTCTGTTTTGGAGAGTAGCTGGATCCTGATGTGTGGTTTGATTGATCCTTTGAGGTAATGCCTAATTAATGCTAATTTAATTTGAATTGAATTGGTCAATCTGTTCCTTTTCCTTTTGACACTTGGGTCTAAATTATAGGAAAGCAGAGGAGAAATAATAGGATGTCAATGCTAGATCATGCCAAGAGTTTGAGTGTTGCAGAAGTTGCATGCATGATCGAGCATTTTTGTTAAATTCTTTCATGATCATGCCATGAGGTCAAGTGGAAGGTTATTTTCAGTTTAGAAAAATGAGACATCTAATTGGTTTCTTAGTCTGTAAACAAGGTTAATTTTTGGGGTTGTGTTCAGGGTTTGGCAAACCAAATATAAGTGAAACTATGTTAACTGATCGTGCTATAATTATTTTAGAATGGAGTTTAATGATATACTATCAAGTATCAATAGTGAGAGCTTTTTATATCTAGACTGCTAACGCAATGTGAAAATCTGGCTAATCTACAATGAACTATAAACAGAGCTGTCTTTGGAAACTAGACTTACTACTGCTACCGCTTTGAATTGGTAAAGTAGGATTTATGTTTGTGCAATTGGTTTCAACTCCTCCCTTACATTTCAAAAGCTACCAGGTGAACCTACATTTCTCAAGTTACTATGCTTTTTGTTAACCAAACAAATCCATTAATCTTTTCTCATAGAATTTTAGTAACCAAAATACAAACAAGTCATAAAAAAAATCAATTGACTTTGTAATTTGTATGAGAAGTCATTTGCACCAATAACCTTATCTCACAAATTAACCCGCCCATCGGGCGGGTTTCACGCTAGTCTAATTTATGACAAAGAGACTAGTTAGGCAAAGGATTTTGAATTTGCCTAAACCTAGAGCGTGAATTATGAGAAGGGAGGAGATTGTGATATCTCAAATTCTTGTCATTTATAATATTTAATTCGACAAATAAACTAGAGACTAAGAAACGACTAAGTAGAGTGTATGCTTTTTTGTGTTTATTTTGTTCCAACATTTATCTCTGAAAAAGAGAAGAAGAACTCTGCTTCATTCCAACTAGATTCCTCGGCTACATCCTTTCCCCCGATGTATAATACTCAGGTGCTTCCAGAGGGGGGTGACCCGCGGGTAGCAGTGATTATCTATCCCTCGCCCATCTTGGGGTTTACAGAGTATCCTCTATGGTCACCAGTTATTGGAAGTAGGGTTACGGTGGCATATTCGTAATGGGCAGACGACTTCTCTTCTCCATTCCAACTGGATTCCTCGGCTACATCCTTTCCCCCCGATGTATAATCCTCGGGTGCTTCCAGAGGGGGGTGACCCGCAGGTAGCAGCGATTATCTGTCCAGGGGAAGGCCGTTGGTGTGAACTGACACTTAGTTAGTGGTTTGATCCTCCGACCTGTCATGCTATCAAAGTTATCTCTCTTCTTCGCCAGGACATTGCGGATAGACTGATTTGGCATGACACGGCTGATGGGGTTCACTATTAAGTCGGCCTACCATCTTGTCGTCTTATTGGATATGAGACAAGGCCGATGGAGATCCATGGCTAGCTGGATGGATAACCGATTCCGCCCAAATTGAAGGTGTTTATGTGGCAACTTTTTAACCGAATCCTGCCCACTAAGCCCTGATTGAGAAGAAAGTCCCAGTGCATCCCAGATGTCTAGTCTGTTTGGCAGAGTCAGAAACCTTGGAACATTTGTTCCTTTACTCCCCAGTTGGGCGAGCTCTTTGGAACTATTCGGGGTTGGAATATCTTGGACAAGAGTTGCCTCGGCATACTTTCCCATTTTTTCTTAAGCGATTGCTGTCCCTTTTACACTAACCCTCGTTATTCATGCGGTTGTGGCCATCCTTTGGAGATTTGGCGTTCTCGTAACTGGGTTGTCTTTGAGAGCAATCAGTTTGGGATCCCGGCCTTGCTGCGACAATTTAACCAACAATATGAGAAGTGGTAAATCTTCTTGTCGATCGTGTTCTTCGGTCCTCTGTCCCTTTGCCCCATCACTTGAGCCCTACAGAGATTGATTTTCCGGTGTGTATGTGGGATGGGGCAACGCAGAGTGGTTCTCATTCGGCCATTTGATTGGTTATCATGACCCCTACTAGGGAGATCCTCTTTGCGCATGGGCTGCAATTTCCATGGGTGGATGACCAAATGATGGTCTAGATGCTCGTACTCCGGGAGGCTATGATGTGGTGCCTGGCTCATGATTTCACAGAGATCAGGTTTGAGGGAGATGCTAAGGTGTTCATCGACAAGATTAATCGGGGTGATACTGCTGATAACCAGATGAGGGTTATTCTTGAAGAAATTGTGCAATGTTTTTCTTTTCATTATGGGTTTTCTGTTCGATTTGTATGTCGGCAAAATAATAGGGTAGCCCATTTGGTGGCTAGAAACACACTGGCATTGTACCCGACTATGAGTCGTTTTTTGATTATCAGGCCTGACTGAATTGCAGAATGTAACCACTTATTTTTCAATCAATATATAATTATCTTTTATAAAAAAAGTTTATCTAAACCCTGTGAAACGGGCACGAGGAAGAAAACCACATACAATTACCGTACCATCCATTATTTTTGACTATTTCAAAACAGCTCCACCAAACAAAATAACAGAAAAAAACGAAAATTTTACTAGCAGAAAAAGATGAAAGAAAGAGAAAAGAAACGGAAAGGAAATTCTTTCTCTCTCTTTCTCTCTCTACCATACTACCATAGCCAAACCAAACAAAAAAAACAACTAAAGATCAAAACAAAAACAATTCGAAAAAACAAAGAAATGGATAAAAAACCCGCGAAAATAGCAAGAGCAAGAAAAATAACTCGCAGAAAATTACCATGCCCCAATTATTCACATCCCATTAAAATCTCCAAAATTGACTGCAGGTAAAAAAAAGTTATGGCCTTGGATTGGCTCTTCTTCCTCCGGCCGCCGACCTTCCTTCTCCACCTCCTCCTCCTCTCCCTCACCGCCGCCTCCTCCGTCGCCGCCGACGAATCGGACGCCCTACTCCGCCTGAAAAAATCCTTCACCAACGCCACCGCTCTCATTTCCTGGGGCCCCGGCGGCTCCCCTCCTTGCAAAGGCAAGCTCCACTGGCATGGCATCCTCTGCTCCAACGACATGGTCACCGGAATCCGCCTCGAGAACCTCGGCCTCTCCGGCGCCATCGACGTCGACGCTCTCCTCGAAATCTCCGGCCTCCGTACGCTCAGCTTGGGCCACAACTCCTTCAACGGGACGATCCCGGGCGTCAACCGGCTCAGCTATCTCAAGGCGGTCTACCTGAACGGAAACCAATTCTCCGGCGAGATCCCGCCCGATTTCTTCGGTAAAATGGTCGCCCTAAAGAAACTCTGGCTGTCGGACAACAAATTCTCCGGGCTAGTCCCTCCGTCAATCGGCCAGATCTCGAATTTAATCGAGCTCCAGCTACAGGACAACCAGTTCTCCGGCGCCTTCCCCAATATCCAGCTCGCGAAATTGGCCAAATTCGACGTCTCCAACAACAATCTCACAGGGGAAATCCCTAGCGGACTGGCGAAATTCAACGCGACGTCGTTTGCAGGGAACCCCGGGCTCTGCGGCGGGAGCACGGGGAAGAAGTGCGATGTCCCCCCGCAGAAGGACGGCGGCGCCGCCACTTCCTCGGAAGGGATCCAGAACAACCCTAACGCCACAGCAATCGGGATCGGCAGCAATTTCAAGAAGACGGTGGCCGGAATCGTAACCCTAGGCGTCCTCCTCTTCCTAATTTCCGCGGTGATAGTGATCAAGATGATGCCGAGGAAATCAGACGAAGATGACGACGGCGATTTCGAAACCCTAGGAAATCGCGGGCGGCGGAACAGTAACGAGGACGAGCCGTTCGAGGTGCAGGTCTCCCTGCCGACGACGAGGCTGCAGGCGACGGCGCAGGAGTCCGCGAGGAAGGGGACGGCGGGGCCGAGCCGGCAGCACCGGCCGTCGAATGCGCAGGGGAAAGGAAACGTCGGGGAGTTTGTGATGATGAACGACGACAAGGGGGTTTTCGGACTTCCAGATCTGATGAAGGCATCGGCGGAGATTCTCGGGAACGGAGGAATGGGTTCTTCGTACAAGGCCGTGATGGCCGGCGGGACGGCGGTGGTGGTGAAGCGAATCAGGGAGATGAACGCCATGGGGAAAGACGGATTCGAGTCGGAAATCAAAATGCTCGGGAAATTACGTCATCCAAACGTGCTAACCCCGTTGGCCTTCCATTACAGGAAGGACGAGAAGCTGTTGATTTACGAGTTTGTCCCCACAGGCAGCTTGCTCCTTTTGTTACACGGTAAGTGCGTTGTAACAAATGTTTGTGACACCGTATCGTATTATCAAATCGACGATGAGAACAAATATTTGTGACACCGTATCGTATTATCAAATCGACGAAACTCACCGTCTATTTTTCGTTGCAGGGGATAGAGGTCCGACGCATCCTGGTCTCAATTGGGCATCCCGCCTGAGGATCGTGAAAGGGATCGCCAGAGGATTGGGCTACATTCATTCGGAGCTAGGCGGCACCAATTTGCCTCATGGCAACCTGAAATCGAGTAACGTACTAGTCGGTCCGGACAACGAGCCGAGGGTTTCGGAGTATGGATTCAGCTCGCTCATCAACTCCAGCGTGATCTCCCAGGTACTGGTAGCCTACAAGGCTCCGGAAGCGATGGCAGCAGGAGGCGGTCACGGTCACGGGCACGGGCACGTTTCGCCGAAATCCGACGTCTTCTGCCTCGGAATCCTGATCTTGGAGATCCTGACGGGGAAGCTGCCGTGCCAGTACACCAATGCTGGCGCGGCGGGGACAGATTTGGTCCGGTGGGTAGAATCGGTGGTTCCGGAGGGAAGAGAGGCAGAGTTACTGGACCCTGAAATCGCAGGGTTCAGCAATTCGATCGGACAGATGGTCAGGTTGATCCACATCGGAGCACATTGTGCTCACAGTGTTCCTGAACAGAGATTGGAGCTAAGAGAAGCCATTAAGAGAATCAATAACATACAATTAGAGGACGGTTCTTCGGTCGAACAAGGGCATCAAAATCAGAATGCCGTCGATAATAAATTTCAGTTTACTGCGTCCTGACAATGCAACGATAATAAGCAGTAAGTTTATCTATAGAGTTTCACGAAGTTGAGAAATGGGGGCTTTCTATTGTATTAAACTGTACTCTGTTTGGGGAGAAATGAGAGGTCAGTTCTTTAGCTTAGTTACTTATGTATGAGCAGGTTTTGTTGTTGTTGTTGTGTTACATAACTCAGTATTCTATTTGATTTATTGGGTAATGTAAAAAAAAAAAAAAAAAGTAGCCAATTAGTCACATATTGATAAGTAGTTACTTAATTATTTTTTCGCATCAATGATTCATTGAGTCTGAAAATCATTTTTAGAAATTCACTTAATCCTTTCATATTGAAACCTTTTAGAATGATAGTTCACGATCGTATTCTTGTTTAAATTATAAAAAGGATTTGTTTCTGTTTATTCATAACTATGATAGATAAAAAAAAAAAACAAAATTGAGAAGGTCCCCGAGGTAAATTATAACTTGATTAAATAATAGTACTAATATCAATTACAACAGCATGCATAGGTCATAGGTGTTACAATTTTTGATTACTCAATTAACCCTCCAAATCCTCCCTCTGCCACACATATATTTATAATTTTATATAGGATTAATACCCTAGTTTGGCCCGAACTTTAGCGTTAGTGACAGTTATGGCCCCATTTTTCAAATAAGACATTTATGGCCCACTTTTGAAATTATTGGACAAATTTGGCCTACGATTTGAATTGACCGTCAAAATAGACGATCAACTATTTTTTCGTCGATGACTCAGCATCAAAATACTGAGGTGGATCCGAGGTGGCTGCCACACCATTTATTTAGATTAAAAAATTTAAAACAAAAAACTTAAAATAAAAAAACAAAAAACCAAAATACACTTTCCAATACCATAAAGTCCCTCCCCTCATTGCCGTAAAATAAAATAAAAAAAGTCCCTCCCACCCAACTCACTCCCATCCCCACCGAATAGTAATATGGAATCCCTAACATCTATCATCGCAACCCCATCCTCGCCACCATTCCCATTTTCGGCTACCTCCGCTCCATCTCCCCTACCATTTTTCTTGTCCGTCCGATTTTGCTGTTGCTCCATCGAGACCCCGTCCACAAGATCAGAAGTTGCTGCTCTTTGATTGCCCCTATCCCTCTCCTCGTCGAACTCGTGATGGTGCCTCTTCTGCAGAAGCGAAGGCGACGGGGAGCGTTGGTGGCGTTGGCGGTGCGGCAGTGCGACGCGCGTGCGTCCGGCGAGAGCGAGTATGCCAATGGTCGTCTCTCATTGGAAGAAGCAGCTGTCAATGGCCGTCTCTCCAAACGATTTCCCAGAACTGAAATTTTGGGTTTGGGTTCTTCGATTTTCAAAACTGATTCAGATCCCCGACCCAGATCTGGTGTAGAGTGAAAGAGGGAAAAGATGTGGTGGCTTGACTCTGACGATGAGGGTTGCCATTGATACAAGGAAGTCAGCCAGGGATGGCGACAATAAGAGGCAGCTAGAGATTGTAGGATGGGGAAGGAAATTTGGGGAAGGAAATTGGGGGAATGATTTCGCAATGGGTGGAGGTGAAAGTTAGAAGAGGAAGAAGATAGAGGAAAGGGTTTCGTTTGACCATCTTTTTTTTTTTTAAGTTTTAAATGATGTGGACGTCCTAGTCATTAGTGGATGTTGAGTCACTTACGGAGAAAATGGTTGACCGTCAATTTTGACGCTCAATTCAAAATGCGGGCCAAATTTGTCCAATAATTTCAAAAATAGGCCACAAATGTCTTATTTGAAAAATGGGGCCAAAACTGACACTTACGCTAAACTTGGGGCTAAACTAGGATATTAACCCTTTTATATAAAACTAACCCTGCAGCTGGTCACTTCCCTACAGCTGGACCCTGGACATTTTACTCAAACCAAAACAAAAATTTGATTAACATGTGCGCACTCCTATTTTTAGTTTTAAGGTTGTCTTGGTTATAACTTATGAGTATGCTCTGATTATTGTACATTGTGTTCAACTCATAACTACATCGTTAAGAAAATCATGTGGCCGGAGATTGCGATGGCAATGTCCGTCACGCTACTGCAGGGCGGGGTGGAGCGGGTCGACCCGCTCTTACATGTTATTTGAGAAAATTACATGCAAATTTTATTTTTTTACGATAAAACGACCGAGAAAACACTTTAAGAATGAAAATAGTGATAATAAAATGGGTAATTGAGTCTAATAAATTGAAAGATCGACTCTAACTAGTGGAAGAATAGTCAAAATAGGAGAAATATGCATAGATATTGTAAGAAATTGAGGTAGAATGGGAAAAAAACGGTGCGAGGCGGGGCAGGACGTGTCAGAAGTAGATACACATGCATCGCCCCATGCTACCGCAGGTCGGGTAATACCCGCCCCATCACGGGTCAGGTCGAGTAATACCCGTAGGGCGGGTTCAAATTGCCATCACTAGTTGGAGATCGATAATTGAGGTTATTCGAATATTCATCCCTAAATGCAAGAAAGCTTTGCGACAAAAAGAAAAATATGTATGATAAATAGTAAGTGCATTGATAAGAAATCGTGATAGTTATTCGGTGTGCGTGAGTTAAGAGTGCATATGGTAACGACGGTATGGCCGGTTAAACAAGGTGATTGATTATAATGTTAAATGTGCTATAGATGCACATGAATCCAAACAAAGGTACACATCACACAATGTAACACGTTAATAAATCCAAGCTAGCTAGCGGGGGAGATGAAGCTCAAAAAATAGAATCTCCTGTAGTCCTGTTGGCTTAAAGAATTTAATTAATGGACTGTTCATCAGATACTTCCATGGCCGGCCACCTCATTAAGATTCTAAATCCCTTGATTATTGCTAATTAAGGGGTCAGAAAGATCATTAGAGAACAGAACATGCATGCACACTACCAGATTAATTTCTACTATTTCTTTTTTCTCTTCTGCCAACATGACACTCGTGCAACACTGCAACTCCGTGTTATTTCATTTTCTTAATACAATTATTATACCATCATATATACACTTTCCTTAATCTGCATTACACATGAAGAAATATTCGATACACAAAAAAGTTTGTACTAATATACGTAATGATCGGAGACACAGAATGATCAAGCTAGATATGCGTCTACAAATTCTTAATATATTATAAAAAAGTAATGATCAATTAATAGTTAATTAATCTTGGTTACTGTGTAACAAAAGTGTAGATTGATTTTCAAACAATGTCTGTTTGCTTGTACTTTTTCCAATTCATTAGTTGGGGTTGTTTAATTATAATAATTAAGTTTTGTGTTGTTACTGGCAATTGCAGTGGGTAGCTAGTATAATTAATGTAAGGCTGGTTCTGACATATATATATATTATTACGTGTATTGGTTATATCACAGGTTCACATTAATTAGTTCTGCATAATCACTGCATGTATATATATATATATATATATATATATGCGTCACTTTGGTGCTTTATGAACTGTCATTACTCGTTAATTAGTTAATTTAGTGGTGTCATTGCATCGGGTTGATGATTGTGGGTTATTAATAAGTGTCATTATCATTCTTAATTACCGTATGACGGTGTCATTTTACGTACGTACGTGTGATGGGCATGTGAACGCCCGCCGGCCTTATTGCAGGGTTGGGTATCATTTGGTTGACTTAATTGGCTTGATTAATAATTAACTAGCTAGCTAGCTGTCTAATTTTGTTATTGTTTAGTTCTTCCCTTTGTTTTGAAGTAATGTGCAAAACCATGAGATGACAAAAAGATATAAGGGAGGTGAGGGTGGTCCAAGAGGAGCTTGGAGAAGATGATGTTATTCTTGATCACCATGAGTAGAGATTGGAGAATATATAAGCTTACAAGGGCAAATTGAGGTTTTCAAAGATCAAATGTTTAGAATTGGTGGCGGATCCAGAAATTTTATAAATTGTGTCCTGTCGCAAAAATTTAATTTAATTTAAAATTAAAATAAAAACTTATTAAATATGAAAGTATCCGACTAGTAAAAGTTACAATAAAAGTTCATACGTATTTTTTATTACGAAAATGGTAAAATACATTTTGTGTCTATATTACTAAACATATCTCTCTCTACATATCCTGATAGACAAGGGTAGCCCGTAATTGAGTTAATCGTTAGATTTTGAAAATAATTGAGGATAAAAATAGTCTTTTATTATTATATTTGAATCTAAAACATAACAACAAATGAGTTGTGGTCTAATTGAAAATATGTTTACTAATAGTAGCAATGGCCCAAGTTCAAATTACATAGATTATCATTTAAATATTATTTCTACCCATACGCAACCTACTTATAGGAGGTTGGATAATCCTTTTCCCAAATTTTAGGGGTGTCCGACTACCACTTTTTCTTTTACCCATTATGTAAACTATTATTGAAGGTTGGATAATCGTGTTCCCAAATTTTAGGGGTGTACCGGGTAGGGGTGAACAAACTCACCCGCAAACCGATCCACCCGTCCAACCTGACCCAACCCACCCGTATTTATCGCTAAAACGAAGGTTTTGGGTTGGGTGAGGATTTTCTTTTGTACAACCCGCCTCTTTTGGGTTGGGTTTGGATTTTGGATTACACAACCCTTAGAACCCGACCCAACCCGTGTTCCAATTATTGGTATGAGTTCGTATCCAAAAAAAATATTTATGTCATATATAGTCATACTTATGAGAAAATTAAGATATTTCGTAATGTTTTTCTCTTAAGGTCCTCCTAATCTAATGCATTCTTCGGCTTAAAGTTTAGACATAAATTTAATATAGCTATGATTCACATAATTCTTTTTCTTGTGTACAATTTTAATAGAACAACATATTATGAATGCGTTCATCTGTAACCTTTTTAGCCTATTTCAACAAATGTCGAGAATAATTTAGGAGATGCTTATAGAATCGGTATGAAGAGGTAATGACTTTTGCTTGCAACTGATAATTCCTATTCTAAAATTAGTTTTAGGTTGATGATCCACTATCCGTACCTCTGTTATTGCAGAGTCTCTGTAACATCATTTGTATGTATCTATGCACCACCAAGCAGGTGTGGATCTAACAAGCCCGCTTGTCCTGTAACGAATTTGTTTTGTTATTTTAGCCCTTTGAATTTTGATCTTGACTTCATCCAACCTAATAACTCCCTTCATTACCCACATATTCATTATTCATTGGAAGCTTCAATCTACAAACTGATCATTCTACAGCAAACTCTGGACCCTTTTGTTTACCTTCCAACTGCTTCTTCTACATATTCCATTGAAACAAAAAGAACCTTCTTTTCTCGCTGTATTATGTATATATTCAAATTGTGGTAGAAAAAGGAAATTGGGAGTCAGCAGTCAAATATGGTGGTCTGGCTGGTCGATCATTCCTTTTTCCGTACGACCTCAATTATGGATTTTCATGTGCCATAATTAATTTTAAAATGAAAAGAAATGGCTAAATTGCAAGTTTGGTCACTTGAATTGTTAGAAAATTTCACGTTAGCCACTAGAATTACTTTATTCCATCCGTAGTCACTTGAATTAGGTTAACAGTTCAGGTTTGGTCACTGGCCGTTAGTCTCCGTTAACTTTTGCTGATGTGGCGGTCAACTCTTATAGTTGACCGTTAAATGAGTGACGTGGCAATTAAAAAATAATAAAATTTATTTTTTTTAATAATTTTCATCTCATTTTTACAGTAAATTAAAAAATAATTAAAACAAAAAAATGTCACAAAAAACAACATTATGATAAATCCCTTCACTCTACTGTTCGCGAATCCCAGGTTACACCTCCGTCGCTAGAGTCCCCGCCACCAACCCCGACCTTGTAGAATGCAATTGCAAACTGACCAAACCACACCATAAATGAGCAATAACTAGGAAAATCGAAGAGTTCACCTCCTATGGAAGAATCTCACCTGCGATTCTGAACATCGCCGTACGAGTAATCAACCAACTGAACAACGAATCCCTTCTTGACGCGGTCGATGAGCTGCCTGGCAAGCATCGTATGGTGAGTGGAGACTGAATCGGAGAGGATAGGTGCCTATTTGCTTGATTTCCAGAACCTGAACCAGCGGCTTCAATTTCAAATCGCCGCCATTGTGGTTCCTCCTCCACGGCGCCTGAGGATCTTTCTCGAGTCCATTTTCGGCTTCGTGGTGACGCAGTTCCCGACGGACTCGAAGATTCGGCGGCGATCTCTTGGACGAAGGAGTCAGCGACGGCCGCGATCTCACGGGTTGGAAGAGTGATCGGCGACGGCTAGGGATTTGGAAGAGCCAGCGGCGCGGAAGTTTCCCAGTTTCCAAATCCCAATTTTAGTTAGAAAAAGTAACGATGAGAACAAGCTTCTAATTCATTAACAAAAAAAAATGTCACAAAAAAGTTTTTTTGACATTTTTTTGTTTTAATTATTTTTTAATTTAATGTAATAATGAGGTGGAAATTATTAAAAATTATATTTTATTATTTTTTAATTGTCATGTCACTCATTTAACGGTCAACTATAAGAGTTGACCGCCACATCAGCAAAAGTTAACGGCGACTAACGGCCAGTGACCAAACTTGAACTGTTAACCTAAATTCAAGTGACTACGAATGGAATAAAATAATTCTAGTGGCTAATGTGAAATTTTCTAGTAATTCAAGTGACCAAACTTGCAATTTAGCCAAAAAGAAATTCAAGTTGTCATCTCTTGCATGAAATAATATATATATATGTTCTAAATTATAATGGCTCTAGCGAATTTGGGCTTTCAATTTGGGCTTCCTCATTTTGGCTGGACAACTGGCACAATGAACACACACAAAGTCACTCTTGGCCCAGATGGAATCCACCAGCTGACCATGATTACTTGTATTTGTGTTTTTTGTGTAAATGCAAATATTAGCATTTGTGGGGATTAGTTGGCAAGTGATTTCGTGGTCTATGCCAGATTGATTGTTGTGATGTTCATTTATCACTAACTTTCGTATTTTTTGTAGGGAGAATTTTTGTTGACCGTGTTATCTTATTTTCGAGTATAAGTAAAACAAAGTACAAAAACTAACAAAGATGAATTTATTATCAATCAAGTATATGAGTTGATAAACAAATTTTTTTTTACTTTGATCAAGAGTTTGACAGTAAATAATAAATGTGTCGGTTGGTTTGATATAGGGAGGGTGCCAACGACTTGCAGATCTTATGCATCAAGCTAGCCATACTGAATCAAATCGATTAAAATAAATTATCAAATAAGTTTAGTGTGGTGATAACTGGTAATTACAATATTAATTATAGTTCTATATATAGAAATTAGTTGTATCACCACTTCAGAATTTATCATATTTTTAATTGTAAATTATCAAATTAGTTTAATTTGGTGGTAATTGGCAAATACAATCCTAATCATAGTTGTACAAATATGAACTAGCTATATCACCGCTTTAGGATCATATTTTCATAACGATAAATATTGTCATATCCTCAATGATAAGGGGTCGTTTGGAACTTTTGATTCTGGAAATGATGTATTACGAGAATGTGTATTAAAGATTGTATGGATGCTAAGAATTTGTGGTTTTGAAAATTCATTGTTTGGAAACCATAAAAGAATGCATGGATTATAGTTTAAATGAACTATGGATACTAAATGTCACCAAAAAGGTAAGATTCACTGTACATCATTTTCTATGTAGGGCTAATACCACTGGGAAACCCGAACTATTGATTTTTTTGTCATTTGTGTCCTAAAGTATTCGATATGACATTTGTGTCCTAAACTATTTTTCTGACAGAGTTGACTAGCATTGACCGTTAGTTTGTAAAGGCAAGATGAAGGCTGGTGACGAGGAGCTGGAGATGCCGAGCCGTCGCACCCCCGACGACGTCGAGATTGGTGGCCACCTCTTCGATTTCCTATTCGCGGCGCTGGACGTGTCGACATCGTCACTTCTATGGGCGGTCTCGCTGCTGGATTCTCTGAGCGAGGGTTGAAGGGAGACTGAGAAAGAGCGGGGGGTTGAGTTGAGCGACTCTTTGGTCTTCGTCGATTGCACACCCCAATGGCAAGAACAGGTTCTCTAGGTTTTGCCGACAATGGCGGCGACGTGATGAAGGGTTGGAGAAGCGGGGTCGAGTGAGGAGAGAGGAGACCAACAGTTTTTTGTTTCTTTTAATTTCTGTTAGTTTATTTATTTTTAATGAAAAATAAATAATAAAATTCCACGTAAGATGTCACATAAGCGCTAACTAGATTTTATGTTAAAAACTAACGGTCAACGCTAGTCAACTCTGTCAGAAAAATAGTTTAGGACACAAATGTCATATCAAATACTTTAGGACACAAATGACACATTCTTAATAGTTCGAGTTTCCTAGTGGTATTAGCCCTTAAATATAAACATATTTGCCAGACAAAGATTGATTAATCAAACTTGATTATCTCGAACTTTTCATTCCAAACTTCTTGTGTGCAGATTCAAAGGGGGTCTCAACCAACCATCATAATCATGATGAAGAAATGGAAGAGGCAAAGTTAAAAAAGGCAACATGATGGTCTTCTTATCCAAAATTCCAGGTAATTTCCCTTCATAACTAACTATCATAAATCATATATGCCTCGAAAAGGAAACGAGGTTTCCTAAACACCACCGGGATCGGAATTTGGAAGATGATTTGCTAATGCTGAAAATTCTTTATATCACTTGTTTCCTCCCACTTTCTCACCCTTTTCCTTTTTATTTCCCAACCAAAAGTTTCCCATCCTCCAATCAAAATTCTCTCCGTTTCCCTCGTCTCTCAATCATGACATGAATCACAAATGTAATTCCATAAGAAAATATCCCAAACCATCCATCTCAAAGGTAGAGGGGGGAGAAAAAATAAATAAAAAACAATCAATATTGAAAATGTGAATTTATAGAAAAAAGTCAATGCCTTCAGTCATTGTATTACGTATTTATGTTGGTTCAACCCAATATATTCCCGTGCTGTAGATTTCGAAAAACATGTTGTATTATGCGTCCATGAAATTATATAAGTTATATCATTTGTGTACTATTTTAATTGGTAGAAAATACTACCACAGATAGGGGTGGAAATTGGGGTGGGTGTGGTTACTCGCCCCACATTTTGCTGGTACCCACACCCACAAATATAGAATTATGCTATCTACAATCCGCCCCGCGGTGGGTAGTGGTTAACCACTATTCGCTGCGGGTTTGTGCGGGTTGGTTGTGAATACCCACAAAAATTTCATCATTAAATAAAATAATATGGTAATTAAATTGTGAAGTTGTGTTTTTTCTCACACAAAAAAAACACACATAAAAGAAGTTAATAAAGTGTTAAATAAATTATAAATCTTGAATATAAGAGGTTAGTTATTGTAAACTCAGAAGGATTTGGAAAGAGATTTAAAGATAACGGAGAGGCGGAGTGACCTGTTACCAGACAAACATCGTTGCATGTCACGACTCCTTCGCGAGCAATAACAACAAAACACAAAAGTAGTTCGATAAGTCGAGGCATCCTCTCTTAATGAATCGATTATTCTCCACTCTCGATTATAGTCTTGTATTGTTGGTAGCTAGTTGCATGTTGTGTTGTTCGTGAGTTCGTGTAGAAATGGAGACGAGTTTGGGTATCGAACTAACCTTTATCGATTATTCTCCTCTTCTAACGAATTGCTTAATTTATCTGACTATATCTATGGACTTTGTTTTGTTATAAAATAAACATATAACACACGAACAATGTTTATTTGATAAAAGTATCTCACACTAACATTGCGTATTGACTTGGTTTTGTTTTATAGAATAAGTACGTGTTCGATTTTAGTAGCTACCTTAATTCTTAGTTTTCCAAGTTTCACAAATTAATATAACTAATGTGGTTAATGTGGATTTTGTGGGTAAACCGATGTGGGTAGTGGTTAACCACTAACCACGAAATTCAATATTTTGTTACCCACACCCAACCCACTATCCACAAATTGTGGGTAGGGGTATCCACAAAGTGTGCGGTTTGGTGCGGTTTGCAAGTTAACCACAACCCGCAAACCAAACTCCGACCCCCTAACCACAGACAATGCTTTCCTATACCATATTATTTTTGGACGAAGATTGTCCGATATTATAATGCTTATCTAGTCCATATGTTAAAATTTTCGTCAAAGTCCATCACCAATAGTGTCACCTATACTTAGCAAGCACACATTTTATATCTCTAATAACTTGCTCACTGTAAAAATCAGAATAAATACGCGATTTCAAAGTCGAAACGAACATTAATCCTCTACATACCGTACATAAGCGAGTCAATCAAAACTTTATCAAAATACATATTGATGACTCAAATGACATCTATTTATCATGAGAAAATAAATTAGATGTGTGATTCGAAAAGCTGAATTGTGAACGAATTTTCTACATAAACTAGTAGCATTAGTCGATTCTAAAACTCTAAAACTAGCTCGGTAATATAAAATAAAAATCAACACATCATTGGTTCCATAAAATAAAAATCAATACATCATTGCCTCATTGGTTACTTGGGGGATTTGTTTATAGAAATTGTTTACATTGGGGACCGAAAGTAGCATTGAACAAAAAAAGAAGTAAAAAACATAAAGAAAAGTTGCGGAGCCACCCAAAATTCCCGCAAAAACAAACAAATATATACAAAACTAAATTATAATTTCTGCTTTTATTTTAATTTCCCCCCTCCCTTTCTCTGTTTCTTCTTCCCAATCTCATTCTTCTCCTCCTCCTCCTGCTTAGCTCTCCTGAATTTTCACCAGTCAGTATTTCGCTGCTGTTGCTGAACAGAAATTTGCCCTTTCTTCCTTCCTTTCCCTTCCTCCTTTAACCGCCGCAGAATCATTTTTCTGAATCCAAGCCTGAAGAACTCCCCATCTTCCATTGATTGATTTGATTAAGTAAAGCAAACCCTTTTCCTCCTCTGGGGTTTGATTCTTTGATTCCCCATCAAAGAATCTAACTGATTTAGGCAAGAAAGGAGTTTTCTTTCTTTCTTTCTTTCCTAAGCTTGAATCTAATCCGTCCATGGCGTCGCCGGAGGAGACTGGCGGCGGGAGCGGGAGTTGGAGCAGCAACAACAACAACATCGATTTGGAAGAAGCCCAGAAGATAATTCTCCGATGGGACTCCTCGGCTTCGGAAGAAGCTCGAGAAAAGATGATCTTCGACGGCGACCGTCACGAGGCGGATCGCTACTTGCTGGCGGTCGATGAAATCCAGCGCTCCATGTCCTCCGCTTCCATCTCCGCCACCGCCGCAGCCGCAGACGCCGACGGCGGCAACGGAGAAGACAGCAGCAAAGACCAGGCTCAAGATAAAGTCAACTCTGCCATCCAGATCGCCATGGCTCGACTCGAGGACGAGTTCCGCAACATCCTCCTCAGCCACACCGCCCCAATCGAAGAGGACGCTCTCACCGATAACCCTGCCGCCGCCGCCGCCGAGTCCTCCTCCTCCACCTCCGCCGCAGAATCCTCCACCGCGGCTGCCGAATCGGGGGAAGAAGATCGCCTATCCAGCAGCGGTGGCAGCGGTTCGCAAGTCCTCGAGGAGACCAATCTCAACCTCTCAGATCCAATCCCCCGCACCGGCTCCTCCGTCAGCAACAGCTCCGGCAGCTACCGATCGACGAGCAGCATCAAGGAGCTCGATCTGATTCCAGAGCTAGCGGTTTACGACCTTCGTTCCATCGCCGAACGGATGATCTCCGCCGGATACCTCCGCGAGTGTATCCAGGTCTACGGCAGCGTCCGCAAATCCGCCGTCGATTCCAGCTTCCGCCGCCTAGGGATCGAGAAGCTCAGCATCGGGGACATCCAGCGCCTCGAGTGGGACGCCCTCGAGAGCAAGATCAGGCGGTGGATTCGCGCCGCCAAGGTCTGTGTCAGAATCCTATTCGCCAGTGAGAAGAAGCTCTGCGAGCAGATTTTCGACGGAATCGAGACGGCCGCCGTCGACGAAGCGTGCTTCGTCGAAACGGTAAAAGGCCCTGCAGTCCAACTCTTCAATTTCGCCGAAGCAGTCAGCATCAGCCGCCGCTCGCCGGAGAAAATGTTCAAAATCCTCGACCTTCACGATGCTCTAGTCGACCTAATGCCAGACATCGAATCGGTTTTCGACGCAAAATCGGCCGATTCTATTCGAGTTCAAGCGGCCGAGATCCTCTCCCGACTCGCCGAGGCAGCTAGAGGGATACTCTCCGAGTTCGAGAACGCAGTCCTCAGAGAGCCTTCCAAAATTCCGGTCCCCGGAGGGACAATTCATCCATTGACGAGGTACGTGATGAACTACATTAGCTTGATCTCCGATTACAAGCAGACATTGATCGAGCTCATAATGTCGAAACCCTCCACGGGTTCGAGATACTCCGGGGATCCCACGACCCCTGACATGGAATTCGCCGAGCTAGAATCAAAACCACCACTTGCGCTGCACTTGATATGGATCATTGTCATTCTCCAATTCAACCTTGATGGGAAATCCAAGCTTTACAAAGATGTATCATTAGCGCATCTCTTCATGATGAACAATGTGCACTACATTGTTCAGAAGGTGAAAGGGTCGATGGAGTTGAGAGAAATGATTGGAGATGATTACCTCAGGAAGCTAACGGGGAAGTTTAGGCAGTCTGCGACGAATTACCAGAGGGCGACTTGGGTTGGGGTCTTGTACTGCTTGAGAGATGAAGGTTTGCATGTGAGTGGGAGCTTTTCGTCTGGTGTTTCAAAGAGTGCATTGAGGGAGAGGTTCAAGAGCTTCAATGGCATGTTTGAGGAGGTTCATAGGACTCAGGCGACTTGGTTGATACCCGATACTCAGCTTCGAGAGGAGCTGAGGATTTCGATATCTGAACATTTGATTCCAGCTTATCGATCGTTTTTGGGGAGGTTCAGGAGTCACATTGAGAGTGGGAGGCATCCAGAGAACTATATCAAGTACTCGGTCGAGGATTTGGAAAGTGCGGTGCTGGATTTCTTCGAGGGCTGCCCTGTTTCGCAGCACTCGAGGAAGAGGTCTCAGTGAAGAAAGACAGAAGAGTTTTTGGACCAGAACTAGAGAAGAAACAAAGCTTTAGGACACCATTCTTTGAATTTTTTTTCTGTGGGGGAGTGTTCAGGGTTGAGAGGATCGGTTTGCTGCTGCTGCAATGTGCTATGATGGGAAAGAGGATCGAATGTCTGATGTTCGACGGTGGAACGATGTGGAAGAAGGGGATTGATTCGAGCTCGGTTCTCTCAACCTGAATGCTTCTGCACTGTAAGCAAAATGCATTGTTGGTTTTTTTTTTTAACTTTTGTCATATGATCACAAGTCTAGATTTGTTCACTTCGGTTGTCATTTGTTCATATGGGGGGGAATTGTTGTAAACGTGTGATTTGCTGCTACTACTACTAGCTATTCCATCTTTCATGATATGATGAAGAACCCAGTTTCCATTCTTCTGCAGATGAGTTCTTACTACTGGTTTGGATGATGTTGAACTTGAAATGAACATGCCTGCATTTTTAGTAGGGTAAATGTGATAGATATGGGTTGTTTTTTTTGGTATCCTTTGTCTAGTTGTAGAAGTTGATAAGAACATTGCTGAAATCTGCCAAGCGTGCGTCATGGAATCATTTGAAGATGATAACTGGGGTCTCCATTCCAGGAAAAGAAAGAAACTTTTTTCCAAATTGAACTCCTAAACTTTTGATTTTAGATGGAGTGTGAGCTCACCACTTTGACTTGTTCTACTATGGGGCATGGGTTGTCCATCTCACCTTTTAGTTTTTACTTACATGTGTGGTCTTGTGGAGCCTGTGATTCATGGACTCAGGTGCCTTGATTGAAATATCTTGAACGATAACGATTTGTATCGAGGGTGAAGTCCAACGTCCTAGAGTCTTTGATTTGAGATATCTCGATTTAGAACTCGCTGTAGGTAGTAGTAAGGGGTGGGCAACGGTTTGATTGGAAGTGACGAGGAGCTAAATCGGAGCTCGCTCTAAGATGTGTATGGTGTATTCGATATGACCTAGTCTTGTTTTAGACTCAAAGGGTATGGTAAGAATCGATTTGATTTGGTGTCGATATGATCGTTGTCCATCACTATATGACGGTAAACCTCTGAGTGCTTGTTTTGCTTGAAATGAAAGGTTGGGAACTGGGGATAATCTGAAATGATGTTCTGGTCACAGCTAGCAAGGAGTGTTTTAGGAGAGCCATTAATTTGCTAATCATGGTGCAGCTGCTCATTCTGTTGCCTTGTGACTATCACATCAAATCTCAAACATTATTAAATTGTGATTTGGCCAAAGCCAACTCAGGCTTAGGCTGGCACAAAATTTGTTGATTGATTAATTGGGTTATGTAATTAATCATGGCTTGGATTGGAATTTGGAATGTCAGCTTCCTTTATGCTTGAGCTTGGAGGCGTATTTAAGTACAATCAATTGCCCTAATTATTATTGATTAATGTTGCCTTGGTTCGTCATCAATTGGCCGCCATTTTAAGTAACAAGGAATGGTTTTAGTTTCTTTTTAGAGGAGAAGTTTAGGACGTCCAAATTTTTTGGTACTTGGTCCTTAATGATTTAGAGCAAGCAACAATCTCTATCACGCAGTCCTAAACAGCCCTCTTAAATTAGACAATAACTAATTGGGAGGAGACTTGCACTGTAGCAGCTTGACATGCCACCATACGAACAACCTTATTCGATTGAAATATTATAGAATTGAATTGAACCCACAAATCAACACTAATCCGCGTAAAATGTATAACTTATTACCACTAAACTAATGTATGGAGATGGACAATCACATCTCATACATCTTTCATAGTTGGTTCATTCAAATATGGCCAGCTCCATAAATGGGTCATTACTCATTAGATAGAGAAAGCAAGTCTTATCTTTGATTTTTCTCCCCCCAAAAGAAGGGAAGAAGTATGAGTCAACAATCAACTTTGCCAAAATAGACCACATCTAAGAAGGGAGCAGTTTGAAATGTGATATTTCAATCTTCTTGCTTGCTTCCTTTCCTTGTTTCCTAATAGAGCACCAGAAATTTCCTCAACTTTAGTTGTCTACAACTCGAGTTATTAGATTTCCATTAGTTCTCATCGTTTAATACAATTGATAATAATGATTCGATATCGAAATCTCTTATCATATAAAGATTGGATCGAAAAAAGATCATATCATCCTATAAGTTAAGATGTACAGAGATTCAATAATTATATATTATAGAAACTTGGAATAAGGTTGCAAATTGCTTGTCCAAAGAGCCATCACTCCCCCCACTAATTTTTGTTCTTCTTTCTCTCTTACAATAAAAAGGGCAAACCATTATTGGTGGCTTATTGACAATTGTTGTCATTTTCAAAAGGAGCTGATATAGTTGGCCCTGTTCTTTGCATCCAATGCCTTTCAGTTAATTTAGTTAACAAACACGTTCTAGGAAAGGCAAAACAATTCAATGTCCTTGTCTTCATAACCTACCAAAAAGGTTTGGTAATGGAAAGAGACTTGCAAACTAAGATGAGGAAGGTTTCTAAAGAATTTATAAATGGGGTATCACAAATCAAAATAGGAACAACAACATCAACAAGCCGCCTTCAGGAAAGCTCCTTTCCTATATAACAACCTATGTGTGGCAAAATACACTGAGAGGAACATCATGAGCCAAACAAAAAGGAAAAGAAAGTAAGAAACTACTACAAAGAAACTAAGAGGTAAGAAGGGTAACAGAATATCTCAACTCATTCTCTCACTATTGCAAAAGAAACAAAGGGCATATATCCTCAAGTTAGTCTTACCCTAGTGCAATGTTCAAACATTACCATGTGCTATATCGTACTACCCTTATCTCACGCCGTCTTCTCCTCTCCTGTGTCGCCATCGGTTGCTCCATTGCTAGGCGAGACAGGTCTGGGATCTGATGCATGTAGACCATCCTTTGTGGGGAAGGAAGCCGGTTTAATGAGTCTCAAGGAACTCTCATCCTTGTCGAACTCGTCGTTGATGTCATCTGAGTAAGAGTACCTACTCCGAGGGGAAAAAGGAGAAGGTTATGTTTAAGCTGCTTTGGAGTAGGTTTAGTTGCAGAACAAGCTAGATGGTTTAGTTGTCTCGTTGAGATAAGGTTCATGCCTTCATGGTGCTGGCAAATGCAAATGCTCAAACTCCATGAAATCTAGTTGTCAGTATTTTTTATGAGAAATGACTTACCGCATGGAGTTTTGTGAGGGAGCCCAAAGAACACAGATGACACATAGGAGGGAGAAGGAGAGGAATTGCCAGAAAGCTGGAATCACCCATGCGTTCTGCCAGTGCTCGTTGTAAACATCGTGAGATTTGAAGTACAACTGCAAGTGGCAAACTAATATAGTAAGGAGAGACATACTTTGACATTCCATTTCACGTGATAAATTCACTATAAATAGTCTCCACACTGAATTTGCCTGCATCTTTAATTAAGCAAGAACAGTTACCTCGTAGCAAATCCAACCAACTGAAACAACAACTGCTACAGCCAAAGCATTCGTGAATTTCCGATATATATCAAGCTTGACCATCATTCTTCTTGCCTGCACATATTCAATAAGCAGTATGGGAAAGTGACTTGAATATCCAGAGGACAAATAAAGAAATCAGTCTGTAATTCCAAACTTCAGCAACTAGTCCATTAAAAACAAGTTCAATGAAGGAATCAATCAACACTGTAGTCAGGGTACCTGAAGTTTATTCAACGTGGCAGAAAGTGATTTGAATACCCAGAGGATGAAGAAAGCATCCAAGAGTGCCACTGGAAGAACCAAGAACAGTATGGCCTTGCCTGAAAAATCACTCACCGCACCAACATTCTCCACCAACTCAAGCACTTCAGAAGTCAAGAAAAATGTCCCTCCTAGCATTAGCACCTTCGATGTGAGCCCTCCCAATGTTGGCCTCACCACCCCATACCCCATTGAAACAATCAGTATCACTAGACGTGCCACCGTGCGCTTCACAGTGCCAAATGTAACTGCCCACACAGTGGTCCCAGTTGGCCGAATCCCAGTCTCGTTGAACTCCGCATAGTCGAAATACCACAATGCCATCTCCAACATCCCTAAGGTAATCACCAGAGTAATGCAGTTTTGCAGTGGGAAAACTTCCTTCCAAAACCGAGCATACTGTGAGAACCAGAAGATCCCGAGTATAACAAATGCAATGGACATGAATGCATAGAAGTTCATTAGTGGAGCCATTCTTCCCGGGAGGTACCCTGAAGGGTTCTTCCATATAGTTTTCCCTTCTTCTACTACCACGTCTTTTAGATTTGGGTCGCAGATCACGAAGTATAGGTTGTACATGCCAGTTTTGGTGATCTCAATCGACCTCGATGGTAGCGTCGCCACGTCTTTGTCATGATTGAATGAGTCGGTGAGTACATAGGGGAAGCCTGGATTTGTTGTTGAAGGACGATGGATGATCTCTCCTTGAGTGCAGGCATCGAGTTTTGCAAGATCGGGAGTACAGCAGATTGCTCTCTGGCCCCCATAGGCTGAACCACCGATCAGCTCTCTGTCTTCTACTTCGAATATGATAGCATGTACTAGTCCTGAAGTGAAGTTATGCACGTCCATGGGTCTTCGGAATGTGAACTTTTCGAAGCTGATAATAGATCACCACCAATGTAAGTTAGTCAACGCCAGCCATGGTTAAGTTAGTCAATGCGAGCCAAAAAACCGATGTACTTATCAGAATGCAACCACCTAGCTTGCAAGGAAAACCAAAGAAGCAAGCAGGTAATATGTCTATTAATGCTTGTACCTAGCATTTGTGTAGTCCTACAAAACATTACAACTCAGACGACATAGAACTCCATTGATGCATGCGAGACCTTATTCCAGATGAAATGGAAGCCATTGGAAGAGAACTAAAGGTTCAAAACTATTCCTTCTACAACCTAAAATTGCATTCTGTCACTGCAATTTAGCATCAATGACCTTAATTTTTCCGATTCTCCACTTACAATTTGATCTTCAAAAACTAGCCCATTGATATGAACAAACCATGCCCACAAAAACACAAGCCGAGACACAAACTGTCAATCCTGCTAAACTTTGAGCACGTCCTACAATCATTCTTTCACCACTAACTAATCTTTCTCCTCAGCTCTCACTTAATTCCTGCAACTAAAACGAAAAGAACCCGCTGCACAAAAACTGAAACAAGAGAGAAAAGAGTAATTACCGAATGAAGGCATCTCCATTAGCGGCCTTGTCGCTGAGATTGGAAGAAGGCCGGGATAAATAAATCCCTTCACTGCCGCCATGAACGACTAAGGCATTCCCTCTCCCCACGAATTTCTCCCCCTTATACTCGTGGACCGAACCCTCAACCAGAAATCCCGCGACGGAAAACAGAACACTGAAAAGGAACAAACTTGACATTGATCTGAGCAGTAGCCTAAACATTTTGCTGACAAGGGAAACGTAGCGAATATCTGGATCTAACCAGACCCAGTTGAGATCTCGCTTTGTTAGAAATGCCGAGGCTGCAGTGGAAGAAGAAGAAGAAGAAAGGTGTGGACTTTAGAAGTGAGGGTCAGTAATTAATTAACCCACTGGGCTCCGATTTCAGTGACTTGAGAGTTGTTACTGTTAGCACTTAGCAGTTAGCACGCAGACGCAGTCATTTAGGGGTTTGGAGAAGAGAGCTGGGGAGTGATGTGAGCCGTTAGATTTGTTGACTTCTGATGAGGTCTGGATGGACGGCTGTGGATGGTACAGGATTTGGAATATGGCAAAAAGGGTTGTCGGTTCGCTGTCCGGCTAGCTGTCAGCTGTCACCGATCGTAATTAAAAGAAGGCACGGTGACCTTCACATCTGGTAAATAGTTGTTTAGTATTTATGGAGTTTTAATCGATTTTGACAGAGAAAGAGAACTGACAGAAGGAAGAGAGCAAAAGAGAGAGGACTTCTGGCATTTAGATGGGTTTATGCCTTTATGGTATCACAAATCACACAAAGAAGACAAAGTGAATGCCGCTGTGAGGTAGAGAGGTCACTACCTTGGAAAACCATATCCAATTAAGTAACAGCTAAGGCAAGAACTGTAATTTCGATTATCCAACTATGGTTGATTTTGTACTAACAACCAATTCGAGGTTTCTAACTGCGTTGGATTGTTTGGACCAAATTCACTACTACCATTTTTGGGAGAGGTGAAGTACCATCTACCACAAGCCCGGTCATGCCATCTTTATATCTTTGCTCTGTTTAGAGGAGTGACTTTTGGTCCACTTTTTACTCAGAGCTAGCCCATCTTTTAGTAGTACAACCATTTTTACAACATTCATCTGCAAATTATTTGACAGAGGGATCACAGAGTTATCTTATGCTCCACCAAAATAGGTGCAGAAGAAAGCAGAAGGAAACTGAACGGTGAAGAACGAAGCAATTGGATCAAATTTTTGGATACAAGGTTCTGAACAAATGTTACAATCGAAACTCCCTTAAGATGATGATAAGACAAAAAGAAGGGAAGAGAAGAGATGCAGAAAGGACTGATCTAACAAATACGACCACCACACCTACATTCAAAACCATCCATGGACCGCTATAAAATACGTGCAGACCATATTAGCTGGTTCTCAGTCTTGTGCTTTTCGTGCCCCACATTTCATGCTAACTGCTGCTACTAATCCAGATCGAGAAACTCCATTCTCTTTCTCATTGTGCCCTTCAGATCCGATGCTTCCCTTTCTGCTTTCTGGGCCTGCCAGACATTTACGAAAACAGCAACTTTAATAAGTGGCTGGTTTAAGTTCAGGACAATGCGAGTAACACTCGTAATAGATGATGCTCGCTAAGTTCTCAGCAACAACTGACATAACACCGTCACTCAAGTCTTTGGTAAGCTAAACAAGCTCATGTAAGACTTAGATGTAGTCAAATTCTGAAGTGCCACATTAGTAACCCTCTTTTTCCAACAACAAATGATATCCGTACATGTACGGGATAGCTTGTTCTAGTTCCTTGATTATGGTATTAAAGTCACACCCTCTCGCTCTGGATTCCTATAACCTAAATTGTTAGAGTTCTGAACAGAGTCGCAAGGGCATAGAGTCACTAAACCAAAAATGGTGATCCTCTACAACATAGGAGACAGACATCTAGATTCGAGATGGTAGTCACCAATTCAACGAAACTCAAGCTAGAGCCTATCTACGTCACCAAACCTAAGCATAATAGAAGCAAGTAGATACAGAGGAAGAGGAACAAATACTCACCCTCCTAATTTCTGCTGCTGAAACACAAGTCATGTGTGGAGGAAGCTCCTCCCTTTCCAAATCCTAGTGTAAGGATGAAAATCATTAGACAAGGTAATGAAGAAACGAAAGTAGCCGAGAGAAGATCAAATGAGAAAAACATACCAGCTCTCCAATTAGAACAACATTCTCCCCCCGAATTACATAGAGACCTAATGGAATGTCACAGTAAAGTTCCCCAACAATTACTCTTTCGCATGCCCCCTCAAGAACAGCATTTGCTGCAGATATGACCATTCAACTCATGAGAAACTCACAACAAGAGTTAGTTTGTTTAAACAATACCAGTCACGAGAAGAGTAAGAACCTACCGAATTGATCAAAAGAGCGAAGTATTCCCATAAGTTTACGGCCATCTCGCAGAAGCACGAGAAGCTTTTCTGGAACCACAAACAAGCCAATACGAGACTGTAAACAACTAGACACTAGACAGAACACATAAAAAAACCTGAATTTCCATGGAATGTACAAATGATCATCATTGACTCTTGAAGATAAGATAAGATACCAAGTTTAACAGACTGTCTCAAGATGTTGACCAATTACAAGCATTCATATGTCAATTCAACAGTAGAGACTTAACAATCAAATAATGCAACAGAAACAAAGTCACCAGAAGACAACATTGAAGCATACGAGTCTCCATTTCATGAAACAGAAGTAGATTAAAAATCTAGTGTGGAGTGCGAGCTTACTATCAAGATAACTGGCGAGAGAAGTAGAGAGGTAGATATCTTCTGGCCCTGCCCACGACATTGATATAGCTAAAGCTTCAAACTTTTCGGCACGGCAAAAAATAACACACCGAAAAATTCGTTGAAAGCCAATTCAGAAGGTATAGCATTGGCTGCTCCCAATCCCCGGCCTTTTTATTCCCACCAAAACCCTCCCGCCCCTCCTTCTCCAATCCGAATACTTCAGCAGAGGAAATCAATGGCGTGCAATGAGAACACCAAACAATTCCCTCGAACCCCAGCAAAAAGTCAAGTCAAACGCAGAGCTGCCTCAAGTCGCCAACTAAAACCAGACCCCCTGAACCCCACTAATTTCAGATAGCAACCCTAAATTGAAAAGATAAATAATAGTTGCAGGGATCTGGAGAGACCCAAAGGAAAGGCGAAAAGACGCGAACTTTCCGTCTCCGACGGATCGAAGGAACTGAGCGGGGAGTCGGTAAAAACAAGACGGAACCCAGATCCAATCGAGCCGGAGGAAGTAGATGGGCAGACGGAGGAGAGTGGAGGCGTCGCTTCCGGAATCTTTGAGGGATGTGGAGATTTGGGGGACTAGGGTTCCCTAGGGGGAATTAATGCATGGCGGAAATCTGGCAAACGGGCGACGGGTGAAGAATTGGGGGGAATTAAAGGCCTTTGGGGAGCAGCAGTTGGCCTGGTTTGATTTTGATATTGCTTTGCTTGCTTAAGCTAGCGAGGAATTTTTACTAAATTACACGTTTGGTCACTCAAATTATATAAATATTTCATGTTTGTCACTAGAATCACTTTTTTTTCTTATTCGCTACTAACTTGACTAATTGTTTCACTGTTAGTCACCAGTCCACAGTCATTAGTCTCTATCAAACTCCATTAATTCTGTTAATTTTTTGATGACGTGACAAGCAGAACTGCTGACTGGACCATTGATTCAATTTAAAAATAAATAAATAAAACAGAGTCACCCTGCAATCAAATACCTTATTCCCTTTCTCGTCGTCGCCGCCCTCATCACCAACTCATCAAACGAACGCCGCCAAGAACCCTCCAAAATCGACTCCCACCATCCATTCCTCCACCGGAAAACACCACCCACCCCTCTTGCTTCCATTACTTCTCTCGATTTATCAGAGAGCCTGTTTCCAGGCAAGTTAAAGGCAGTCCCATGAATCCCTTTGAAACCCAAAAAGTCAACAGCTTTTATGAAGGAAAATGAGCTCAAAACCAACCCATGAACGATCAAAATACCTTCTCAACATCAAATTTCCTACCTTTCTCGCTCTCATAGACAATAACTACAATTGGCTTCTGGTTCAGAGCGAGTTGTGCCTTCACAATCCGGTGGGGTGGCGAGAGTGAGAGGAAAAACAATTTGGGGTCGGAAGATATGGAAAAGGAAAAGTGAAAGATGGTGGATAGATGGAATATGACACTCCTAGAGTGAAGTAGAACCAGAAAACAAATGGGCTGCTGCAACTATTCTTAGTACTCTCTTCTCTTGAACTGGGCTGAGATTGGTAATCATTAGGCTTTGGACTTTTCGCTGGCGGTGACGGCTCTGGTTCCTCAGAGATGATCGCCATTGTCACTCAAAGCTTTGAAATCAAATTTAGATCTGCAGCAGGGTAGAGATCGGAAGAAATGAAGTCAGTAAATGGAAATGGGAAAAGAGGATACGGCGTGGGTGTGTGTTTTCCGGTGGGGGAGGGGAGGTGGGAGTCCATTTTGAAGGCTTCTTTGCGGCAGTTATTTGATGAGTTGGTGTTGAGGGCGGCGACGGCGAGCTAAGGGAAAAAGGTGGTTGGTTGCAGGGTGACTCTGTTCTTTTTTTATTTTTATTTTTAAATTAAATTAACGGTCTAGTCAGCTCTTCTGTTAGCCACGTCATAAAACGAACAGAGTTAACGGAGTTTGACAGATACTAATGGCCGGTGACTAACCGTGAAACGATTAGTAAAGTTAGTGGCGAATAAGAAAGAAAAGTAATCCGGGTGGCAAACATGAAAGATTTATATAATTTGAGTGACCAAACGTGTAATTTACCCGAACAATTTTTATTGATTTTTTTTTGGGAGTTAATAAAGGTCGTCCTAACAATTACTAATGATCGTCCTAAAAAACAACAAAGTTACACTTTTAACCTTTTGACATCTTTACCTTTCCTTTAGCAAACAAACACCACATTCACTTAGAAAACAAAAAACACTCATTCTCCCACACTCTCGAATTCATCATCGACATTTGGAAGCCGAAATCGTCGAGCATACGTCCGAACAATGAGTAGCGACTCCGACGAGGTAAAAATCTCGTTTTTAAAAAAAAAAAAAATCTCAACCGAATATGATTTTCGGTTGGTCCATGGTCCAACCGAAATTCGGTTTCGGTTGAACCATGGACCAACCGAAAATCACATTCGGTTGAGCCATGGATGAACCGAAAATCTGCTTCGTTTGTGCCATGGGTGAAACGAAAATTGGTTTCGGTTGGTCCATGGTGAAACCGAAAATTTGGTTAGGTTTAGCCATGGTTGAACCGAAAATTTGCTTCTATTGGTGGTTTTTGGGTTTTTTTTAAGTTTATATCAAATATTTCTATTTTATTGTTATGATTTATAGTTTGGTCTATAAGATTGTTTATTGAATTTTAGTTTATATTATTTTTAAAATTTATGAGCCTAATTATTTGTGAAATTGATTGTTTTTGTATACAAAATTAAGATTAGATGTATAATACGCAATAAAAAAATTATTGAATGTGATTAATATGATTCTTACATTAGATGTATAGTATGTAAATAATAGAGAATGCTAAATTTTGTCGTGTTAAATGTTGGATTTTGCTTAGGATAATATAGAGAATGCTAAATTATTTGCGATAATTATTAAATTAAATGTAGTCGTTAGATTTTCTCTTATTGTGGAGTCCTACTTATATCATGAGATCTAACATTGTAGGATATTGATGATTACGGAGGGGATGACAAAGATTACACCTCAGAATTCGTCAATGGAGTAAAATACGATACAGATTTGATTGCATATGCAGCAGCTACTGAGATTGCCAAGGGTTTTGGGTTTTATTTGGTGAAGGCATCAAATAAAAAAAATCCAAGTGAAGATAGTAGGCAACGATACTTGAAGTGCACTCATGGTAGGAAGAAAAATTCGAAGGCTCCTGATTCTGATCCGGCTAAGGAAAGGAGGCCTCTTACTTCTTCTGGAAAGTTGGGGTGTGAATTTCAGATCAAGATTGAGCGGTCAGATGATGGATATTGGTTGATACTAGCAGTGGCTAATAGAAAGAATCCTGGTGCTAATTTGGGTTTTCACAATCATCCGCTGGAGCTATTTCCGAATGGATCAAGTAAGAGGAATGTTTTGACCGAAGATGATAAGCAATACATCAGACAACTGAGATTAGCCGGTGTCGCCCCAAGGATGTGATGCACGTCGTGGAGAAGAATCGACATCTCTCCAAATGGCATATGGAAGGTGTTCGTGTCCGGCTGCCATCTCTCCACAAATGCCGTTATCAAAGCTGTATCTAAATGCTGCATCATACAGCCTGCCAAGTGGGACAATCCTGTGCCCTCAACCACCTTCTCAGAACCCTCTGAACTCCACTCATACCTCCTCAAAGACTCCACAGTACCAGATCTATGACAACAATCCAACAACCCACGATCCTGTGCTGGGGAAGTCCACAGTGCAAAGGCAATGTGACCTCCAAAGCTAGGGATCACATCGGGAATCACAGGTCCACCTGAACACATCTGAGACTCCGATGTCAGACGCCACGACATGTCCCCCCTTACTCCCTTCTTCCTCTTCTTACCATCACCGTCTTCCTCACTACTACGTCTCGCAACGTAGCGTCCATCTAGCCCACGCTGTGGAAAGTGCGAAGAAGCTGTAGAAGATGTCCCAACTCGTCTCTTCTTACCGATGCCTACATCAGATTCAGGTGGGGCATCCCCAACCTCATCAACAGCCACATCATCATCATCATCGTCGTCGTCGTCCATAGAAACTGAATCACTCCAATTAGCCTCCCACGGCGTCGCATCCTCAGGAGTAGGGGTGGAGGTAGTACCTCGACTAAGAGATAACTGTCCCATAGTAGGGCGACCGTCGGGACGCACTATTTCCGCCTTCTTCTTCTTCCCCTTAACCTTACGTGGATTTTTTTCTTCATTTTCTTTTCTACCGGTCGCTGTAAGTCTACAAGCACGACCTTCCATTCTTCCTTCCGTTTTTTCTTCCATTCTTTTCTTATTCATGTACGGTTTGCCTATTCCATGTCCAGACATCTTCAAAAAAAAATACGATTTACAATTAATGATAATCAAATGCATTAACATTTTCTGATAATTTTCTCTAATTTTTTGTAATTTTTGATAATTTATTAACATTAATTACAACTTTCTTAGTGATTTCTTCTAATTTCGGCTACTTTTTAATTTTCCTATTATTTCTAATATGTTTTTTAAATTAATAACAAATTTACAGATTATATTTCTGAATTTTAATACTTTTTCAAAATTTCAAATAATTTTTAACAATTTTTTATACATTATTCACAATATTTTTCCCATAATTTTTATTACATTGTTCATAATAAATTATAAACCGTAAAACTTATTTATAATTAACTACAATTATTTCTAATTATTACATAATTTACAATATTTAATAACAATTTTTATTAATTAATTGCATTTAAAAATCAACCAACCGTATATTTGTTTTCTCAACAAAAAAAAAAAAAAAACCAACCGAAAAATTGACTTCGGTTTGACCATGGTCAAACCGAAGTCAACATTCGGTTTGACCATGACTCAACCGAAAGTTGACTTCGGTTTGACCATGGCTCAACCGAATGTTGACTTCGGTTTGACCATGGCTTAACCGAAGCTTGACTGTGGTTTGACCGAAGGCCAACCGAACGTTGACCTCGGTTTGACCGAGGGCCAACCGAACGGCGGCTTCGGTCGGTGAGCACGGACAGCGAGAGGAGGCGGGCTCTGGCTTACCTTCTTCTCCGGCGAGCACGGACAGCGAGAGGAGGCGCGGCGGACGACGGCGACTGGAGGAGGCGCGGCGGACGACGAGGGGGAAGGTCGGCGACGGCGACGGGGACGGGGACGAGGGGGAAGGTCGGCGACGGGCGACGGGGGCGGGTCGCCGGCGGGGGCGTGGGGAGGCGGGGGGGTCTCTGCCTGGGCGTGGGGGTGGGGCGGCGGAGAGTGTTTCTGTCGAAGAGGAAGGGGAGTGTTTGGGTAGGGTTTCCTTTTTAATTTTAAAAAGGGTAATTAAGTAATTTACGTTTTAAGTTAGGATGATGATTAGTAATTTTTAGGACGACCTTTAACCCTTCTGTTTTTTTTCCTATACGCTGCTAAATCATGGATTATGACTCCGATAAAACAATTAATTCATTGATTGATTGCATGGGCGACCAATTAGCAAGGTAGTCAAACCATTATCAAATCGCCCGGCTGGATCAGGTTCGATCAAAACCGGCCATGAAACTGAGAAAATCGAGAAATCAAGAAATCGAGAAAATCGATGCTTGGATCAATTTTTTGGTTTTTCGGCTCGACAACAAAATATTGTTGTTTTGGAATAGGAGTGACCGAATGAGAAGAGCTTAGAATTTTAATGATTATACGTACACATAAAATTAAAATTACTAAATTAAAGTTACTAAACAATAGTACAATACATGTAAGGTAAATTTCAGATTAATCATAAATTTTGAAATTATTATCGTATTTGCATATATATCTAAAAATATATAAAACGGCTGAAATAAGTTAAACTCCGATAAGATATTGAACATCAAACCACTTATTTGATCGATTCAACGGCTTAAACCGATTTGAAAAACCTGCCGATTAGACGGATTAATACCAAACTAATCACTCTAAGCATCGTTCATTGCCTTTAAGTTAAATATGACAATCAAAAGTAACGAGGATTTTATTTCGTATTTTAGGGAATTAATTTAATTAATAATTTGAAATTTGAAATATCTTTCTTCTTTTTTATAAAGTTTTTCAACATAAAAAATGACTGCTTCTTAAATAGCAGTGAACTTTTTTGGGTTATAGTAGTGATTTTATATTTTATTGCAATGTTAGTTGTTATTTGTAGTGATTTAGAAATTGTACATCATGATAACATAATCACTATTATTATGAATCATAAACATTTTTTTGTTGGATAGGATACGGTCACAATTCTCTTTAGGGGTTGTGAGATTGACTACCCACTTCCTAACAATTGGATACGCTCTCTCCTCTGTTTTTTTTTTCTTTTTCAAATTGATAGTTAGGATTAAAAGAAGGCAAAATACAGCTGTATATCCACAACTATCAGGTTTGTGACAAATATATCCATAACTATCGAAATACACGAAATATCCATTTCTGTCCACTCCGTTAACTCCGTCAGTTAACTTGATGACTGGACAGACGGTGGTTGCTTAGTTGGCGTGTTTCTGACCCCACTAAATGACGTGGATTAAAAGAGGAAAAAAAATTAGCCAAAATATAGTTGTATATCCAAAACTATAAGGTTTGTGACAAATTTATCCACAACTATCGAAATACACGAAATATCCAAAAATCGGAAGGTTGTGTGACAAATCTATCCACTTTTGTCTGAAACTATTACGGCGTGTCAGACGACGTTAAATTGAATAACGGAATGCTGAATCGATGCCATCTCACCTGCCACATAAGCCAAAAAGCAACCAAACTTTACACCGTTATCTGTTAGACCTCGTTGTTGCAGTCTTCTCTGTTGGCGATTTGGTTAGATTCAAGCTTTTTTGTTTGAGATTCAAACTTGGTATCACCATGGCGCCGACTGCATGGAAGCTGTCGGAGTAAAAGGGAGACAATGGTTGGGGATTGTGGTAGGATTATTTGGGGGTGGAGGCATCGATCGGAGGAGGATCAGTGGTTATCGGGCATGTTTCTGGGTTGGATTTTTAGTCTCGCCGTCTGTGGTGTTTAGGGTTTAAAAAAAAATCTCTTTTAATCCACGTCATTCAGTGGGGTTAGAAACACACCAACTAAGCATTCACCGTCTGTCCAGTCATCAAGTTAACGGAGTGGACGGAAATGGATATTTCGTGTATTTCGATAAGTGTGAATATATTTGTCACAAATCTGATAGTTGTGGATATACAACTATATTTTGCCTTTATTCAACTAGCCTATTTGGCATCTACGTGTAAAGTTTGGTTGCTTTTTGGCTTATGTGGTAGGTGAGATGACATCGATTCAACATTCCATTAGTCAATTTAACGCCGTCTGACACGCCGTTATAGTTTCAAACAGAAGTGGATAGATTTGTCACACAACCTTCCGATTTTTGGATATTTCGTGTATTTCGATAGTTGTGGATATATTTGTAACAAACCTGATAGTTGTGGATATACAACTGTATTTTTCCTTAAAAGAAAGATATTCTTGGAATGAAAAATATTACCATACATAATCCTTTCTCATTTTCTATATGATCTCTTTTCATTAGAAAAAACTCTCCCCCTCACACACGTCCTCTCTCCCCTCTCCCCAGAACCCTTGTCGCATCATCCCCCTCCATCTCTCCCTCCTGCCGCAGCCGTCGCGCCCTCTGCCTCCCACCACTGCCACTCCATCACGCTCTCCCCGCCGCAGCCCTATCGCCTCCCTCCACCCCTTGTCGCTGCCATTTCTCTCTCGTCGTCCTCCTCTGCCGCCGCCCTCATCCACTGCCGCCGCTACAGAGGTAACGTCCTCTCCCCTGCCTTCTCCATTCCTCATCCCTTCCCCCCCCCCCCCCCCAGATTTGGGATTTTTTCAGATTCCAGATCTGATTTTTTTTATGTTAATCTCTAGTGGTACTAATTTTCCTCTAGTGGTACGCTACCACTAGTACTGCTACTATTGGTAGTGATACCACCACTAGACGAAAATCAGTACCACTAGCGCATTGACGGAGTGGTTTTTTTGCAGATCGCCGAAGCGAGTCTGATTGGAGGATTTCACCTGGACAAAGTCTGGCGGTCAAAGAAAGTTTGACGATCGGAGCGAAGAGGCTGCTGGAAAAGGAAGAGAGAGATGTAAGTATATTAATTGTATGATTTAAATATTTAAAAAAATGTATTTAAGATGAGTTTTTAATTTTTATTGTGTAATTAATACTAAAACAATAATTAATAAATTCTATTTATTGTCATTACCTAAATTGTCCTTGGATGTGAAACTCACATCCCTTAGGGGAAGTGACGCGATCCCATCCCACTATTACATAATCGCTATTCGAGAAAACATTACTAACAAAAAATCTATAAAAAAAGAGACACACTATAAATGAAGTATCTCATAAGAAAACACTACTCTTTCTTTTCTAATACTCACATATGTGAATGGGGCCGATCCTTCTCATCTGCCTTACCAGAAGAAGAAAACCCAAAACATGAAATAGCAAAGTAGAGCCCTCTCCCCACCATATCTTCCTAGTCCATCTCCTTACATTGTTCTTCATTACATGCTCAAAACTAGGGTTGGAAGTTTGGTATCATTATTTGGAATATACCGAATGCCGTACTGAATTTGTCTATATTTGGTATTATCGAATGAACGTATTATTTTTTGAGATTTAGATTCAATTTCAATTGTTATTCGGTATTAAGGATTACGAGATTGTGATCGGTCTATACCGAAATATAAGTTAGTGTGTATTTTATCCTCTCAACTAGACTCTCTCATTCACTACTACACGACCCTCAACCACTAATCTATTGTTATTTTCATAACACCAAAAAGCAAATACTAGTATTAGTATTCTCTCAACCTCCAATTCGTCAAATTAAAGATTACCAATGACAAAAACTTGAAATGTCACCTCTCCTCCATTCTCCTTATCCATATCCTAGCTCTAGCCAAACTCATGACTCTTTGCTTAGTCTCTTTGTCTTATATTAAACAATCATATCTAATTTATATATTTAATTATTAATGGATTAATTGCATGGGTGTCACTGAGATTACAAAAAATGTTCAAGTTTGGTCACTCAAAATATTTAAATCCATTGGTAGTACTTCAACTTACTGAAACCGTTCACGTTTGGTCACTCTCCGTCCAACTCCGTTAACTTTTGCTTACGTGGCGGTCAACTCTAAAAGTTTACCATTAAATGAGTGATGTGGCAATTTAAAAAATACTAGAATTAAACTTTTCAAAATTGTCATCTCATTTCCACCTTATTATCACTTTTATTTAAAATAAATAAAAAACCTAATTTCTTCTAATCGCTAATACCAATCTGAACTTCTATTTAACACCCTAAATTATTAAAATTACATTCCTAATCTATACCAAACTGACCATTTTACCCTCCATCTAAAATTAACTTAAAACCTAAAATAAGACTCGTTACCCCTATACTCCCCCTCCTCCCTTCCCACGTCTATCCCCGCCGCCGAAACCCACGCCCTCACAGAAATCCATTGTCGTCCGCGTCCGCCGCCTCCCACAAACAAGTCGCCGAGGAAGGAGAAGCCGGAATCGTCGCGCGCCGTCGAGGAAGAAGGTTCCGCCGCCGAAACCCACGCCCTCCCAGAAACTAGGGCTGGCTATTTGGTCCGGGCGATTTACTTTTACCCGAAACCAGACCGTATAACCCGGACTGGGACCGGACCAGAACCGGATAGCAAACAATCCAATCTTCGGCCATATATTTGAGGTAAAAAACCGTTTGCGACCGGATTGAAAACCGGATAAAGACCGGATAAGAGAGCCAAACACCCAAAACTTAACCAACTCCTCACTCTTTGAGTCCTCAGGCAACTCAAATCCCTACAAGCTCAATCTAAAATTAAGATCGAATTGTGGCCGGACCAAGTAAAGACCGGACCGGATCAAGACCGAACTGTATCCAATTTAATTTTTGGTCCTTATATTCCCGAAAAGACCGGATTGGGACCGGATCAATTCGGTCCAATTTAACTGGACCAGACCGTAAAGCCACCCCTACCAGAAACCCATCGTTGTCTGCGCCCACTGCCTCCTAGAAACAAGCCGTCGAGGAAGGGGAAGCCGGAATCGTCGAGGATGAAGGTTCCGATCTCGTCGTCGTCCCTACCAGCTTCTCGTCGTCGTCCATCCCAGATCTGCCGTCGGTGTTGACGGCAGCGAGCAAAAAGATGGTTGGAATCGATTTGCGTCATTCCATGGATTCTTCTTCTAGAGTTCCAATAAAGCTCTGATCTTTGCTTGTTATTATCTCTATCCTTTTCATTCAAATCGATTCTCATCGGACTACCCCAATATCGACTAAAAATTGAAAGAGAGTCTCTGGCTAGACCAGGGATTGGGAATTAGAAGAAATTAGAGTTTTTTATTTATTTTAAATAAAAGTGATAATGAGGTTGAAATGAGATGGCAATTTTGAAAATTTTAATTTTATTATTTTTTAATTGTCACGTCACACATTTAATAGTCAACTTTTAGAGTTGACCACCATGTAAGCAAAAGTTAACAGAGTTGGAAGGAGAGTGACCAAACGAGAACGGTTTCACTAAACTGAAGTACCACCAATGGATTTAAATATTTCAAGTGACCAAACTTGAACTTTTTTGGAATCTTAGTGACCAGCCATGCAATTAATCCAATTATTAATTACAAATGTAATTAATTTCGTATTTGATATTACCGATTGGGATACCAAAATATTTAGGGATTGGGATACCAAAATTGTTTAGGGATTGGGATTGCTTTTAGGGTGTAATTCGGTGTTCGAGATTTCGGTATTTGGTATTGGGATACCGATACCGTACCGATTTTTATTCCTACTCAAATCTATCTATCTTAGTCGAACCCTCCTAGACAAAACACAAAAAATCCAAATCCGTCCCACCAGCGGCGGATCTAGGGTTGGGCCAACTCGGGCCTTGGCCCAGCCCTTTTCTAGATCCAGAGTTAGTATAGTGATTATAATTTTTTTGATTATAGGTATTTGGCCTAGTTTTATTTAAATGTCGGATCAATATTATTTGATAATACAATTTTGCGTAACTGAAAATGGTTCAGATGAATATATCCAAACCATTACTCTAAATTTAGACTAAAATTCTAACCCCAATAAATTTTATTTGAAAAAAATATTAAAACCTAAGTCTAAAAGTATAAAGTTTTATTGAAAATAAAAAACCTCTAAACTAAAGCTCACCCTTCCATGAAAAAATCCAAAAATTTCTCCAATCCCCTTAAAGCAAAACAATAACGAGGAGATGAACGTACCCAAAATGGATTCCTCCGTCAGTCATCCGGATGTTGGTTTTGTTTCTAGTCTTTTTATTAAGAAAATATTTAAAAACTTGTTGAGTCATCATTTAGATTGCTTCAGTTGAGTGGTAAACTAGATCCTTATCTTTCTTTCCGTTCTTTTGATGACGCAAATATTTACAAACTTGCTCAATAGTTTAGTCTTGAGGCTATGAGATGCATTATTTGGAGAATGAGCTACGATATTATGCCACTTGTGTGAGGAAAATGAAGTTTCTTCCCTTTGAAAATTATGAGAGAAGCTGGCGAAAACAAGGATCGACGCACTATACAAATTGATTTGTCGATTGATTCGTCTAGTATTGACTTTGCCCGTTTCAACGACTACCACGCAGAGAACATTTTTAGCAATGGTTTTGAAAACTGATTTGCGCAACAAAATGAGCGAATGAATTTCTCGTTGATTATTTAACTATTTTCTAATTCTTTGCGAGATAATATGCTATTAGTATATGAAGAAAACGTAAATGAAAGAGTAGACACAACGAGATTTATGTGGTTTTCCCATTCGATATGAACGCGACTACTACACGGAGAGTTCACACTCTCAAGATTTTTTTTATTATGATCATGATGATCGTTAGGGTTTTTAGCCCTAGGTTACAAAGATATATCGGAGCCGAATTCCACCTACTGCTGCTCGGCAAACTATAAAGGAAAATTACAAAGAAATCCTTTGTACAAAAGTAATGTCGATCATTCCAAGCTTGAACCGAAGATGATGAAACTGATCCACGCTCAGCCCTTTCGTGAATAAGTCAGTCGGCTGATCGGAAGTAGAGATCTTCAAGGGATCAATGTCACGAGAGATAACCCGCTCTCGAACGAAAAAACAATCCATTTCCACGTGCTTATTAGGCTCATGAAAAATTGGATTGGCAGAGATATGGAGAGCCGCCTGATTGTCACAATGAAGGGGAGTAGGTGCATCCAAAGAAACACCAAAGTCCTGAAGGAGCCAGCGAAGCCAAACAATCTCACTGACTGTAGTGGCCATTGCCCGATATTCCGCCTCGGCAGACGAGGGATCGACAACAAACTGCTTCTTAGTGCGCCAGGATACTGGTGAACCAATAAGAGTGATAAAATAACCAGTATTAGAACGTCAAGTGATAGGACAACCGACTCAGTCCGCATCACATTATGCTGTCAAAGTGAGAGAATCAGTAGCAGGCAGAAAGAGACCACGACCGGGTGAAGTCTTAAGATAGCGCAGCAAACGGAATGCAACATCCACATGTGCCTGCATGGGAGAGTGCACCGCCTGACTGAGGACATTAACGACATAGGTGATGTCGGGACGAGTAACAGTAAGATACAACAAGCGACCAACCAAGCGACGATAAGTTTCAGGATCAGTAGCAGGATCAGAAGAAGCGCGACCAAGCTGATGGTTCTGCTCGATCGGGGTAGCACTGGGCGAGTAGCCTGCATCCCAGAATCATCTAAAATGTCTAAGACATATTTTCGTTGATTTAGAACAATGCCTTGGGGAGAGTGAGCAACTTCAATGCCAAGAAAATACTTCAAAGGACCCAAGTCTTTGATAGTAAACCAAGAGTGAAGAAAATCCTTCGCACGCTGAATAAAGGAGAGATCAGTGCCGACAAGAATCACATCATCGACATAGATAAGAGCGGCCACATATGTCGCCCAGTGGCGGAAGCAGGATTTGAAACTACCCCTGTCCTCTTTTCGTATTATAAATATATAAATATTCAATGAATATAATTAAATTAATAATATCTAAATAATTTATTTTCATATATAAAAAATAACTACTATTACAATCGTTATTTTCATAAACAACCATGACGAGTTTTCATATTCGGAAGAAACACACAATACATTCTTTGTCTACACACTTAAGTAAGTCCTTTCAATGGATCTCATTAAACAATACGTTCTTCAGATAGCTCAAAGCTGAAAATATTTTATCGACACTTGCCATCAAAACTAGTGGAATCGGCGCTGCCACTGAACTGCTTCAAGATTGCTTGCAAATAATCGAATAGGCATATAAAGAAAAGAGATATATTCCAATTGAGATTTCGTTTATTGTATAATAATTAATTCATTGTCAATTTATGATAAATAATGAGTTGTGATATAGTAACGAAGTACAATAGTATTGTAAAATAGGGTTGCCTCCGCCACTGATGTCGCCCCCTGATGATAAACAAGGAGAGAATGATCGGCCCAACTGGGACGAACTGCAGTTCCTGCTGTGCATGTGTAAATTTCTGATACCAGTTGCGGGAAGCCTATCGTAACCCATAAATAGACTTGCGCAAACGGCAGACACGAGTATCACCTAGGTGAGCAAAACCAGGAGGGACTTTCCCGTAGACCTCCTCAACCAAGTCTCCATGAAGAAAAACATTGTCGACATCGAGTTGATAAATGTGCCAACCACGCATAGCAGCAACAACGAGTAAGCACCGAACAGTAACGAGCTTAGCCATGGGAGCAAATGTGTCATGGTAATCAATTCCTTCAATCTGGGTATAGCCTTTAGCTACCAAGCGAGCTTTGTAGCGTTTGTTTGTAACGTCAGGATATAATTTGATTTTGTACACCCATTTGCCATCGATGGCCTTCATGCTATGAGGCAAAAATTCTAAAGTCCAAGTGCCATTCTTCTCAAGAGCTGTGATCTCAACCTGCATGGCATCACGCCAAACCTGATGTCGAACAACTTGATGAAAGAAGCGAGGCTCATCGAGCAAGGTAACATCTGTAACAAACGCCTGGTGAGCAGGAGAACGGCGACAATTATGGAGGAAGATGAGCGGCCAAGCGGAGGACGACGCTCTCCCCGAGCTTGAAACACGACAGCCTCAGCATGAGGGCTACGCTGACTAGCCACCAGTCGCTGCTGCTCATCGTTGACCACCATGTGGTATGCTTTAGCGACGTTGAGTAGAGGTTTCATTGCTAAGATTTGCGATTTCACCGTGGCGAATGGGTCATCCAAACCCATAAGGAAATCAAATAGCTTCTCAACCTCACGAGCTTTGCGTTGACGTTTCTTGGCATCACAAGAACAATTATTGCAGGTGCAATCAATGGAAGGAGAAAGGGATGTTGCCTCATCCCAAAAGCAGCGTAATTTGGTGTAAAAGGCAGCCACCGAGGACTTCTCTTGATGTAAAGAACTGATCGTACGACGAAGCTTGTACTTCCTCGCTTCACTGCCATGACCAAATCGCGCTTCAAGGTATAACCATATTTCACGAGAAGTTTTGGCAAACAAGACACTACTACGGACGTCTTTGCTCATGGAAGTCTTTAACCACCCTTTAACCATGGCATCGCAGCGCTTCCATGCCTCGCGCTCAGTCCCAACTGCAGGACAAGGACGAGAGCCATCCACGATACCAAGTTTGTTATTGGCGATCAAAGAGTCGGTAATATCGCCAAGCCATTCACTGTAGTAAGATCCGTGAGCAGATCCCCAACGTATAGATGATTGGGAGAATCAGATTGATGAAGAAACAAAGGCGACGGCTGAGGCGAGGGTTTCGTATCACCGCCGCTGCCACTTGACTTCTCGTCATTGCCGGATATGATGATGAGATGAACTGTGGAATCGTATCACAGCTCTGATACCATGAAGAAAATGTAAATGAAAGAGTAGACACAATAAGATTTACGTGGTTTCCCCGTTCGATATGAACGGGACTACTCCACGGAGAGTTCACACTCTCAGGATTTTCTTATTATGATCATGATGATCGTTACGCTTTTTAGCCCTAGGTTACAAAGATATATAGGAGCCGAATTCCACCTACTGCTGCTTGGCAAACTAGAAAGGAAAATTACAAAGAAATCCTTTGTACAAAAGTAATGTGACAAATGAGGACATGTAACAGTATAGATGCAAATTCTATTATTGATGGATTCGCTAAATTAAAGACTTTTGTGTACAATTGACATTGTAATGAAAACTATAGTTATTATATATTTTTGTTTACGGTATATAATATTCTATTAAAATGTGGCACAATGCTTTACTATGTCTTGGATCTGTCGTTACGTCCAACTCGAGAAACTCTAAATGCAGCTTTTGTATAGGGGATAAGATGATTTCTTGCAAGATGATCGTTTCACTCACTGCTTAGATTGAAGCTTCCCAATAGTGCTAATCATAATCTCCACGGTAGCGAATTCAAGCCGCTCGTTCAACACATCCAGCCAGCCAGTCACTGACTCCCTGTTGCTTTGTCGATGCCATCAGCCCGCCGATTCAATATCTTTTTATGAAATATATTAGGGTTGATAAAATATTAACTAAACTATCTTTGAATTAATTATGATTCTATAATTACTATTTCAATCTCAAATCTCAGTCCATTATAATGGCTTTATATAATGTAGTATTAAAATGTTAAATGTTTTACCTGGTTAAGAAATTAATGGGTTGGGTTTTTCCACCCGACCGGCACTTATAAAGTAAAATGATAAGATTTTGTATCTAAGTGGACTTATATGAATAATTTTTGAATGTTATTAGTAATATTTATTGAGATGTATAATTTCTATAACATTACGACAATGAGTGCTAAAAAAAATGTAAGATTATGTTTTGTGAACCCATGGCCGTACTCATGAATTCATTGGTAAACGTTAGGTTGGATTTTCACTTCTAAAACCTAATAGGTATTTTATCGAATTTTTTAGTGGACGCACCCATTAGATTGAGTTTGGATTTAGAGAAACCAGACACATTGTCATGCGAACCGATCTTTTTCTAAACCTATCTTAATATGTCTGTCGGGCCATTAAGGCTATCCCACTTCCGAGGCTGAATGTGGATGATAAATTGATCTGGCATAACACTTCTGATGGGGTGTTCTCCGTTAAGACGGCCTATCATCTGGCAGTTGAGCTTGACAAGAGGAGGGGTGGGTGGCGGGCCTCGGTTAGTTGGATGGATAGGCAGAGTTGGATCCGATTGTGGGAAGCTAAGATTCCTCCCAAGCTTAAAGTCTTTGTCTGGCAAATTTTGAATCGGGCTCTGCCAACCACAGAGGCGCTCATGAAAAGAAGGTGCCTGTGCTGCCCCGGTGTCCGGTTTGCTGGGATGGTCCCGAGACGATGGAGCACATGTTTCTTTACTGTCCGGTTGCTCGGGCTCTCTGGGACTGCTCGGGGTTGTATTATTTAGGGGAGGCTTTGCCTCGGCACACGTTTCCTTTGTTCCTTAAGCGGATGCTCGCCCTTGTCCAGGATCCGTCGCTGTTTATGGCTGTGGTTGCCATCCTTTGGCGGATCTGGCGATCCCGGAACTGGGTTATCTTTGAAGGCAAACAGTTTGGGATTCCGGCTTTAATGCGCCAATTTCACCAGCAATATGAGGAATGGGTGGGTCTGCCGGTTGACCAGCAGCCAAGGATGTCTTGCCAGGTGGTTCAGCCTGGGACCCATGTGGATGACTCTCGTTTGGTTTGCATGTGGGACGGGGCGACTAGGAGGGGATCACATTCGGCTGGTGGGATGGTTCTTTGTGATCCGGGAAGGTCGATCCTTCGGGTTAAAGGTGTGCATTTTGCACAAATTGATGAGCCGCTGGTGGTGGAATTGCTTGTGCTTCGTGAGGCTATAGTTTGGTGTTTAGAGTATGGTTTGTCCGAGGTTCGATTCGAGGGTGATGCGGAGGTCATTATTGACAAGATTAATCAAGCTGATTCGCGTGACAGTCACTTAGGGGCAATCCTGAAAGAGATTTGTCAGTATTTTGATGCTCATCCGGGATTTAGTGTGCGGTTTGTAGGTCGGGGGAACAATAGGGTAGCTCATTCGGTAGCTAGAAAAGCCCTCTCTTTGTACCCGAATACGTATCGTTTGTTTGATTTCAGAGCCTGACTGCTATCCAAGAAGTAACTATCTTTTGATTGGATTAATATATGATATCACTTGAAAAAAAAAAAAAGAGTTTACTGCATGATTACATAGATATGGGAGGGTAACAACTTTTAGTCGACAAGACAAAACTTTCAGACCATTCCAATAGCTTGCCACTGTACAAATGATTAAAAGAAATTTGCAAAACTAACAAATATTGATAGAGCACTGGAATTTTATGTAACGATTAAACCATTCCACGATAATATTATTTAGCTAAAAGTATGTTACAAAGTTCAAACTTAGCTAATAGTGAGAGGATTACCCACAAAAAACTAAAAAGAAGAAAAAAAGAGTAACAAGCTGGGAGGTAAGAATTTTTTTGGGGGGAATAAATGACAATCCAAGAATGGTTCCATAAACATGAGTTTGGTGAAGCAAACCCATGGCAAAAAAGGAGAGATTATTGGAATTGTAATAATTCCAAGAAAAACGCCACTCTCTTCATAATTCATCATTATTTTCATTCCCTCTTAATTCTTTAAAATGAAAAAAGTAATTCACCCATAATAGACAAAATGTTTATGTGCTATTTTCATTGATGTGCTCATTGTCAAAGTATCCTTTGCTTCTTGATCATCACCATCTCCATGAGCTCCCCTCTTCATTCACAAATCTGCAAAGCAATGGACATATCACCAATTAGTCGCATTCCTATCTCACTCGTTTAAATGGTATTTGAAAATTTCGAAAGTTAGAAATACGGGTTTAACCCACCTTAATTTTTAATAATATCATTGCCTTATTTCGAAGACTGTTAAATCTCTAGAACAATATCTGCAATGAAAATAAAATATTTGAATAATAATTATAGAGAATGATCGAATGAAAAATTTATGTGAGATTAAAAATATGACGATAAGTAGGCTTACAGTCAGAATCAGTTTTGACCCATTTTGATCCATCGGAGGCTGTTTTATGCCGCCTTTGTTCATCTTCTTCTTGCTGTTGATCTCCTCTGTGTAGTTGTAATTTTTCACCAATGTATCTTTTCATTGAAGAGGCTCTCGAGGCACAGTTTTGAGAGCTCATTTTCTTGTGCAACATGGTCCTAAGAAGCTGGGCTCAAAGAAATATTTGTTTGTTAGAAATTTTGGGCCCAAATCATGAATCGATCAAGCTTTGTCATGTATTTATGGTTTCTATTGCTGTAGGCCCACCAGACTAGTACTACTAATATCTCATTAGCTCATTAAAGATTGCAAATCAGCCCCTAGAGATTGACTAACATAGAATGATGAGATTTTGATATCACTATGTTGCATATTTAAGATAGTTTCAAGATCTTATAAGTTAATAAGATCATAAATAAATTTTAAGATAAAATCTCAATGAGTTTGACCAAATTTATATAATCATTTGAGAAGAGACAGAAGGTAAGGAAAGCAAAAACATGTGATTTAGAAGCATACCTTCTCCATTCTTGATTCAGCTAAAGTATCTCTTAAGCTCGGTTGAGGAGCAAATCCGCTCGAACAAACAAACATCTTTTTTAGGAGGAAAGAAATGGATTTCTTCCCAATAGCCTTCTCTTTCTTCTTGGCTCGAATATCTTTGCATCTACCAAGTATGACACTGATCGTTCTCTCAATATCATACTCCTCTTTATTGTGTTCCTCAAACGACTCGTTAAGACTGCTGGCAACTCCTGTGCTAAGCCTCCTATCGACTTCCAAACTGGATGGGCAGTTTAGAAATCTGTCCAGTGGCAAGTTAGCAACAAGCTCCTTCTCCTTATCAGAGTTTGCCTTTTTGGTCAACAACTTCGTCAGCTCCTTTTGCAGCTTCCCGATCTCTTCGGGTGTGAAATCTTGAAAATCATCTGGCGATGACATTGGATCTTCTTCATTTTGGTGGTGTTCGAGTTGTTGATCCTCTTCTGCTTCGACGACTCGTTGGATTTCGTTGGTATCATTGTTGTTGTTGTTGCCAAATGTCCCTATGGCTAATAATCCATGTGGCCAATCACTGAATTCTTCCCTAGACTCTTGCGTTTGGTATCCTGCAGTACCATATGTACATGTACCACGAAATATTAGCCAGTGGTTAAATGAGAGGATCAAAAGTAAACTAATGACTACTCGTGGGGTTTGTGGGTGAGATGTGCAAAGTGTGGGGGGCTAATTGATAAATAACCTTTCGTCGTTTATGCAGCTTTTTGTGATGATTATACCTTTGAATTTCAAGACACTTTCGGTTCCTCACGTGGGATTTATTCTAGGATCGCCAGCATATCTCATGATCCCAAAAAGCGTTTAGTACTAATATTGACACTTTTGCCATGCATGATGTATGTCAAACTCAGGAACTTTTTTCTCATAAAATTTTATAAACGAAAGTACATTATAAATAAAATAACAGAGATCATATTATTGTCACAATATGAGAGATTTCATTAGAGTAGTTGTTCTTAACATCTTCCAAGGAGAATGAAGAATGAACTATTACACAATTCTTCTCATCATTCTTATATTGAAGTCTCAACATCGAGTGGCATGACAATGGGAAACACATAAGAATAAGATAGTTTAGACTAAAGGGACAGAAAGATGCATCGAAATGGAAGAACGAAAAGAAAAACTTACGCGTAGATGAACCAGCCGATGATGTGGTCGCTTTTTTACTAATAATAGTGTTGTTGTTGTTGCCGCCTTGTTTGGCACTTAACTTGTTTTGCATCCAACCAAAGAACTGCTAGGAACAACAAAATCCATTTCATTGGTTAGAGGTGCACATAAACCTTAACTACAAAAGCCACTCTCCCAAATGGGGAACCAACCAACAAAGAATGAACATAAAACTCTCACCTTCATTTTGAGCTACCACACCAGTGTAAGGGTATTGAACTATTGATGATATGTGGTATAAGGAGCTACAAGATTAGTATAAGAAGAAGAAGAAGAAGAAGAAGAAGAAGAAGAAGAAGAAGAAGAAGAAGAAGAAGAAGAAGAAGAAGAAGAAAGAATGGTATGTGGTATAAGGAGCTACTAGATGAGTGTAAGAAGAGAAAGAATGGTATGTGGTATAAGGAACTACAAGATAAGTGTAAGAAGAGAGTATGGTATTGATGGTATGTGTGGTGTAAGGGGAAGAGAGAAGAACAGGAATGAGAGAAGTGGCAAAGAGGTAAACTTGGTTGGTGTTTACTTAAAAGAATGAAGTCCCTTGTTACCAAATTGGCTGGCCTTGGAAGAATCAAAAGGAAAGTAGGGAAGAAAAATGAGAGAGATGCATGGAATTGGAGCTAGGTGAGAGCAATAGGGTTGATGAATTTCATGGCAAATTGCAAAGAGGGCTTCAAGTTCCCACACTCAAGCTAAGCTAGAGAGAGAGAGAGAGAGAGAGAGAGAGAGAGAGAGAGAGTCCTCTCTTAAGCTAGCTAGCAAGCTCTTCTGAGTTTCCTTTAATGGCTACCCTTTTCCCACCCTTCACATTAAGTATTCAGAGAATTGAATCTCTTCCTTCCTATTTTTGGCCCTTTCTTCACTTTCCACTTTCCTCTCTACTTCTTCTCTCTTGTCTTCTTCCCTTCTTATACAACTAATAGTATACTCATAGCCCACTACGGGCACCACAAAACATTCTGTTGAAATAATTCTATTCAATTCAACCCTCCACATCATCTTGTTTAGTATAATAGTTTTAATGTTGAGCTAATTCTCAATTTTCAAGAATAGGGTTCTTATTATATTGCATGTGGGATATTCAGGAATGTACATCTATGATTTGTTTGATTCTTGTGCTTTTGGGATTAATCTCCATACCACCTTTTTCAATTCAATGATCCAACGACAAATGGGTTGACACGCCCAAACCCAATTCAATGAAAACTAAATTATATATGCTCTAAACTTCAATGAAATACAATGTAACATGGTACATTCTCAGCTCTAGCTTGTATGAAATGGTTTCCAGTCGCGATGTTCAAAGTGTACTAGCGGCAGTATTCCTCACTCGACATTTTATCTTATGTTATAATACGTGAATCATATGTTAAATAAATATGGGATGGTATAGGTTATCGGCCTCCTTCAGCACTCGAGTTTCAATTATGATTGGAACATGAAAACGTTATTGAATTTGTCCTAGTTACTCTTCGGGACGGAAGATCTTCTCGAACGAGGAAAATAATTCAATGACTTCAAAAGAGTTGAACGAGCAGCCATATGCGGTGAAATCTCGTGTACGGTTATGTAGAGTGGCTGAACGGATGATTTTATATGTCAATTTTCCACTGTCACTCCGAAAAACCAACTCTCCCTCGCGATAAAGTTGCCACCGAAATGAGATAGTTGATTAGCCACAAAATTTCATTGGCGTGAAGCAAGTGAGACCCTGCAGGGTATATAGGAACATTACACTAGTTCAGCTGGATAATGTAACAAGAACAATGTACTTAATTAATTACATACTTAAGCTAGGTACAGATTAACACATGTAGATGGAGGGTCTTCATGATCTGATTTGCAGGGCATGGCTGGGTTATTGGGGCCCGACCAGACAAATTACTCGAACAAATGAATTGATTTATTTGTGGTGGAGAGCTGTAGGGGACAATAATTAAGGTGTGTCTGTGTGTGAAAAAAAGGATCGAAAGTAGCCAACAGAAAGAGGAGAATGGGCATATGATATAGGCCAAAAGAAATCAAACATGATATAACAAATCTGGCTGGTATGATTCACTGTTCACCTGCCCAATCCTTCTTGGTAAGTTGTCAAGCACTCAACCGAAAGTTGAGGCATCTTAATTAGTTATAATCACGATATACATAGATCATATCATATGGAATTTAATTTTCTTGGTGTTTCTTTTCCTCTAAGCTAGGGATGTGCAATGGTTTGATAGAGTTTATCACCGTGAATGTAAAGTTACAATGGACACAACTGAAACTCGAACTTAGCTAGTGATCAGTATATCAGCTTTATTAATGGATAACCAGAAACTCGAACTTAATAAATATTAACCACTAACCAATCACTTATTAGTGGCTAATTAACTAGGATCTCTTCTCTTTCAACAATGGCAGCTGAAGCGAAAAGGCAGGCACCTGATTCTCACGTGCTCTTGTTACCAAGAAAATGGGGCCTATAATATACTAGTGTACATGCACACACCGTCACAAACAAGAGCAACAAAACAATCTACAAACAAACAAATACTGAGGCCACGACAGTTGTCCTCTGTTCCAGACAAAACCATTGGCCATGATCTATTGTCGGACCAACACGTGGCTCAAAGGGGTCGGTTGACTTTTCCCTTCTCCCATTGATGAATGTGATTTGATTAGTTAAATGTTTAAACTAATTATGTTAAGTACTAATCCCCATCCCCAATTGGTAAACAGTGCTTTCATGTGATTGGTTTATCGATCGGCAAAGCTGATTGTGTAGAACAAGAGTATAGAAAGAACGGCCATGCATGCAGTGGCGGAGCCAGGAAATTGGTCAAGGGGGCGTCTTTATCATATCATAAAAAATCACCTATACAATAGAAAAGTCAACTTTAAATTAAACAAAAAGTCAACAACGCAATACTCTAAATTCACACAATTACATTAAAATAGTTTCACGAACACCGGTTACAACGTCAAACAAATAAGTTCGATACATACAAATCAAGACTTCCATTCATCAAATATTACAAATTAGAACTCAGAAGTACCTTGGAATTGATTTTGTGAAACAAACAAATGAACTTCAATTGGTACTTCTTCACTTTCAACTTTGTTTAAACAAAAGACAAGAAATTTCTCTGTTGTAGAGCTAAAAAAAAGAGCGAGTTTAAACAAAAGACAACAATTTATTACTATAAATAAAGACGAAAGTGCATTACATAACAAAACTCACTCGATCGAAATGATAAGAAATTCTTCCTGCAACTGAATGGTCATTGGTTCGAATTTGTATATACCCCTACTCGAAAAAAAATTCTCCAACCCCAAGGGGGGTGCAAAGCACCCCCTCCTCTCCAAGTGGCTCCGCCACTGCATGCATGGAGTTTCTAGCTAGCTCATTCGATTAAACAAGACAGTTCAGTATATATGTGGTTTATATGGTCTTTACGTCGATGATTACTGTTTGAGCCTAACTGAGTGTAGGAGTGAGACTCGTGAGAAAAGGGGGGAGTAGGGTAAGCGAAGCGTAACGTCGGTTCGTTTTTGGTGAGAACTCTAGACGGAGAGGTAGAGATTACAGAGGAAATTGGCTAGAGAGAGAAAGCTGTGTTTATTAGTGAGAGAATCCAAAAACCGATCTCCTTACCTACCGTAGTAAATGCCCCTTTTATAGTACATTACAGTAGTGGGTATTTAATGCGATAAGACTACAACGTGTGTCAGGAGGCTTAGGCCATGCTTTTAGGCCATAATCATTCCTAGGACCTGACACACGACATGACCTTTCCTTCGTAGACTGCGGCGCCATGCTTACGATCTTCCTCCCTTGTCTTAGGTAGGACAAAACGACGCCGGCTTGAGTGAGGCTTAAAACGGCGGTGGTTTTGGGCAGTGCAAAACGACGTCGGCCTGGGCGGGATCGGACTGTGAGGTAAAACGACGCCGCTCGATACATCTGACATTGGCGGTCATCCTCTTGCCTCCATTCGGCTGTCTTGCTCGCGCGACTGGGCCCGAGCCACATCCCCAACAATTGCCCCCCACCAGGTGGTGTTCTGTGAATGCCGCCTGTTAGCTCCCGCGTGGGTGGCTCGGCTCTTCGCGTTCCCGCGCTTCTTTGGGTTGTCGGCGCGCCTGCATATAGTATGTTACGCACGGTCCTCTTTGTGTGCTCTTTTTCTTTGCGCGGCATGATGTCGTCACCGGGTGTGCGCGTCCCGGGTTTTGTGCGCTGCGCGACCGGTGGTTGTTGTGCGCTGTTCGCGAGTAAATATCTTTGTGAATACGCGCACACATGCCTTGCTACGCGCGCGTCTAACTTGCACGCGGCGTTGCTTCCCCTTGTTATGTGCGTTTCGCGAGTGAATCTTTTTATTGACTGATTTTTTCTTTTCAGCGGGTGTACCCATGCCCCCCAGGCGGTGTGCGTACCCTGTGACGTCACCGCCTAGCCTCTAGCTAGCATTTATACCCTAGTAACCATAGGTGTCGACGTGGCCTGCCGTTGTCCACTCGTTTGGGCGGTTACTTGTTTGCTTTTTGAATTTCGAAATTCTGGATTGACGTTTCCGATTCTCGATGTGCCTTTTGCCCTTTCGGTTACCTCTCCTAGAGTTATAAATACCTCTGTGTCTCGGAGAGGAGTCTTTCATCTCCAACCCTTCTGCTTTCTCTTTCGTTGTTCTTGTTTTCCGACGATCTTGCTTTCTTCTTCTCCGACGATCTTGCACCCCAAAATCATTCGTGGTTCTCACTTTTGAAGATACAAATGGCCAACGCTGATGTGAACAACGAGGTCGTAGTTGTGGCAGACGACGAAGGTAATCTTTCTCCCTTCTCTCATGTTTCTTCCGATCCATCGCTGGAGTTGGCCGAGTCCGACAACGATGGCGGCGGTGGGGAAGTTCCGGCGATGCACCTGGTCGAGTCCGACGACGATGGCGGCGACGGCGGGGTTCCCGAGACTCCTTCATACGATGCTTTTTCTGGAGGAGATTTGGTGGAGTGTGGAGGCGGCGAGACTAGTGCGGCTCAGTCGTGGGGGGTATTGATCATCCGGCGCGATCGCGCTGGTGGATCCGGCAACGTTCCGCTTGAAACCGTCGGGACGTCGGAGGCCTCCTCCAGGCCGATCTGTGTGTTGCGCGTGACCGAAGCGATGAGCAGGCTTGGGTTGCGCGGAATAGGGGCCGCGTACACTATACTGGAGTGGGAACAGATGTTTGGGGATGGGGAGGTTCCCAGTGACAACTTGGTGCGCGGGCCGGACCATGTATCGGTGTACGGACGAAGGGAGGTTACGGAGCTAGTGCGCGGATTGGGGTTGCCCCCCAATTGGCAGTACGCTGTTCCAACCGCGCGTAGCCGCATCGGGAACTGCCCCGCTGGGTGGTTCGATGTGTACTCTGAATACTGGCGGATGGGCTTCAAGTTCCCTGTCAACCCATTGTTGTGCGCCCTTTACAGGCGGTTGGGTTTCTCTATTGCGCGCGTCTCTCCGTCCGTGGTTATGCATGCGTCCTGTCTCCGGTTGGTCTGTAAGCGGTTGGGTATCCAACCCACCTATGGTCTTTTTCGAAAGATGTATAAAATTAAGGGGCCAACCGAGACGAGTGATTGTCTCTCCATTAGGCGGCGAGACAAGCGCCTGACGGCTTTGTCTATGGTTCTCCGAAGTTGGAGAAAAATTGGTTTGCCCGCTTTTTCTTTGTCAAGCCCGTCCCGGGGGAGTGGGCGGAGGAGCATGTAGCGGAACATACAGTCTGGAAGAAGGGGGATATTCGCGGATATGAATCCGCGTTGGGGAAGTATGAGGGGCTTGATGATGAGTATGAGCTTTGCATGCCACATAGGATAATTATTTATTCCGGCGGTGTCCGCGCGGCTGTTCTGGAGGAGCTTTTTGCGGACGGTTAGTTTTATTTTCTTTTTTCCTTGCATTCCCTCATATTAACGGCCGTCTTACGATTTATTGGCGCAGGTGTTGATTTTTCATCGTTGTCGAGCATGATGTCGCTGGACGAAGTCGTGAAGGTCCCGCGCGGTGAAAAAAGGAAGAGGAAGGAAGAGAGGGATGGTGCGCGTGCAGGCAGCACGAAGAGGAAGGAGTCCGACGGTGCGCGGACGAGTAGCTCGAAGAGGAAAGAGTCGGGGCAAGCTTTGACGCCGAACAAACCGGCTAAGGCAGCGCGGGCGGTTGAGCAACCTCCGCCTCGAGCAGTTGGGCAGGCGGCGGCAGCGAAGCAGATTCCGTTAGTGAGTAAGCCCCCGCGTCCGGAAGGGACTTCGGCTGGCAGCTCATCTGGGGCAACTGTTCAGCAAACGCTGACGGAGATGGCCGGCGTCGATTATTATCGCGACGTGCGGATCCACACTGGCGCAGCATGCAACAGTCAGTCCGCGCAGGCTGCTCTCCGTGCTCTTGGGCCGGTGCTCACCGTCCCTCCGCGGTTGGAGAAATCAGATCCCTTGCAGGATTTTGCCCAAATTCATTTTGCGGTATGTAGTGTGTTTCTTCTCTCGCTTCGTCTTATTCGTAAGTTATTTGGCACTTTCTCAATAAGTTATTCGGCGTAGGGTCTGATGTGCGCCTTCCGCGCACAACAAGAGCGTGCTCGTGATCACGCCAAAGTGAAGGCGGAGGCGGCGATGATTGTTCAGCTGGAGGGGAAGCTCGCTGGAGCGGAGGGGCGTGCGGAGGCGGCTACGAACAAAGCAAATGAGGCCCTCGTGGAGTTGGGGGTTTTGCAGAGTAGGCTGGCGGAGGATGTCGAAGCGGTGACAGAGCGGGCTCGGGCGGAGCTGCGTGGCGAGTTCGAGGAGGAGAAAAAAAGGCTGGCCGAAGAATGGGCGAAGGAAAAGGCGCAGCTTGAGGCGGGTCATGAAGAAAAGTTGAAACAGGTGCGAAGGATTTCAACAGGAGAAGGAGAAAGATGTTCGCGAGGCACAGGTTGCTGCCGTGAGGCAGTACAAGTCCTCAGCCTCGTTTGGGAAAGTCTTGGTGGATGCAATGACTAAGGCTGTTATCGCGGTCGGCAAGAAAGTGCGCCCCGAAAACCCGGGCGTTCGTTGGAGAACTCAGGAGATGGTTCAGCACGTGCAGGGGTGGCTGCGTGAGAAGAAGCCACTGACCATCGATTCTGAGTCGGAAGACGAATCCGAGGAAGGGGAAGATGAGGAGCGCGCCGATGACCCAGACGATGAGCGCGCGGATGACCAAGGTGAGGGTGGAGGGTCCGCTGCGGCGGCGGAAGGCGAGGTTGAGGTTGTCGATGGGGACGATGTGTGAGTTGGAGCGGTGATGGCTGATGATATGTTGTTGTTGTTGTTGTTTTTTTTTATATTTTAAATCGCGGCGCTAATGTCTTAGCCCGCGGGTAGCTGTAATTCTCTCTCCCATGACATGGAATCCAAAAAAGTTTCCACACTGTGTGGCGCAGATAATTCGTAATTATCGCTATTTTGTGAACTGTGTGCGCGATTTGTAATCGGCGTTTAGCGTTCGGTTGAGGGGCGCGAATAATTCGAGATTATTGCTATTTTGTGAACTGTGTGCACCATTTGTTATCGGCGTTTCTCGTTCAGTGGGGCGCGAATAATTCGGGATTATTGCTATTTTGTGAACTGTGTGCACGATTTGTTATCGGCGTTTCTCGTTCAGTGGTATGGGCGCGAATAATTCGAGATTATTGCTATTTTGCTTTGTCGAACCTTTGTCTTTATTTCACTATACAAACGTGCCGTCGTGACCAAATACATGTTAATCTGGACTGTAGTACTTCCTGAGGTTCTGCGCGTTCCATGTTCTCGGAATTGTTGTGCCTCCCAATTCGCTGAGCTTGAAGGTGTTTGCGCCCACTACTTCGCGGATCAGGTACAGGCCCTCCCATACCGATGCGAGTTTCCCGTGTTTGGGGTCCGGACGGAAGTTCCGCCTCAACACTTGGTCTCCGAGATTGAGCTTGTGAGGGACTAGCTTAGCGTTGTAGTACTTAGCTACCTAGTTCTTTCGTTGCCGCGAGCTTGATGGATGCCAATTCGCGCCGCTCTTGCGCTAGCTCGAGGTCTAGAAGGCGCGCCTCTTCGTTGGTTTCTCCATTATACATTGTGATTCCGTACGTCGGGGCTGTTGTCTCGATGGGAATCACCGCGTCAGTGCCATACGTGAGCGCGAAAGGTGTCTCTCCCGTCGCAACTTTGTACGTTGTGCGGTGTGCCCACATCACTGTGTTGAGTTCGTCGGCCCAATTGCCTTTAGCGTCGCCCAGGCGTGTATGCAATCCGTGTAAGATTGCTTTGTTGGTCGATTCTGCTTGGCCGTTGGCTTGTGGGTAAGCCACTGACGCAAACCTTGCAATTGCTCCGACTTGATCGCAGAAGTCAATTACTTCCGCGCAATCGAACTGTTTCCCATGGTCGAAGACAAGCGCGTTCGGGACTCCGAACCGTGACAGTATGTTATTTTTCAGGAATCGTGTCACCTGCTGTGCGGTTATCGAGGCGAGTGCTTCCGCTTCGATCCACTTGGTGAAGTAGTCCACCGCCACGATGATGTATTTGCGCTTTCCCTTTGCGGTCGGAAAGGGACCCAGCAGGTCGACTCCCCATTGTGCAAACGGCCATGGGCTCAGGTTGCCTTGGAGTTCGGTCGAGGGGAGGTGGTGTTGGCGTGCGTTCACTTGGCATTTGTGGCATTGGTCCACATATTTCTTCGTGTCTTTTTTTACTCGCGGCCAGTAATACCCGTGCAACAGGATTGTGCGTTCCATGCTACGCGGCCCGGCGTGCATTGCGCATAGCCCTTCGTGTAGGTCGCGTACCACATTGTGGGCTTCCTCCTGGCCGATGCATTTCAAGTAGGCACCCGAGTATGAACGCCGGTATAGTTCCCCCCCAATTATCGTGCAGCGGGCCGCTCTTTGCCTTAGGGCCCATGCCTCTTTAGAATCTTCTGGTACCACGTCGTCTTGCAAGTATCTCATGATCGGGGTTTTCCAATCGTCCTCTGGTATGAGTTGTGTGGTGTTGACTACCACTTCGCGGCTGGTATCTTCCTCCTTTTGGACGGATACCAGTCGAGTTGACTCGAAGTCGGTGGCGGTTGCCAGTTTTGACAACGCGTCCGCTTGCATGTTCTCCTCCCGAGGTATTTGCGCATACGTCACTGTCTCGAAGGTACTTGCCTTTTGTTTGACGCGCTCCATGTAATGCGCCAGCGCGTCTTCCTTCGCGTCGAAGGTTCCATTCAGTTGATTAACCGCCAGAGAGGAGTCGGAGAGGATCCGTATCATTCTTGCGCCCAAATCACTGGCAGCCGTCATTCCCGCTAGGATTGCTTCATATTCTGCCGCGTTGTTTGTCTTCAATGCCCGGAACCGGATTGCTATCTCGTGCGTAGCGCCTATTGGGGCGCGCACAACCACCCCCGCTCCTGCTCCATGTTTGCTTGCCGCGCCATCTACGTAGACATCCCATACTCCTTCTGGTGTAGAGTCAAGTGTGACTCCTTCCGCGATAAAATCTGCTAGGATCTGAGCTTTTATCGCGGGCCTCGGGGCATATTGGATGTCATACTCAGACAACTCGACCGCCCATTTGACCAACCGCCCGGATACTTCCATCAAGGACAAGATTTTTTTGAGCGGAAGGTTGGTTAGGACCGTGATTTGGTGTGCTTGGAAGTAGGGGCGTAGCTTCTGTGAGGCGCTTACCAGCGCGAGGGCTGCTTTCTCAATTGGGGAGTACCTTGTTTCCGCGCTCACCAGCGTGCGTGACGTGTAATACACAGGCCGCTCGACTTGGCTCTCTCTTCTCGACACTAGTACTGCGCTTACGGCTCTTGTTGACACAGCAAGGTACAGAAAAAGTTTTTCATTAAGCTTTGGGGCAGATAGTACAGGTGGGGATACAAGATATGTCTTGAGTTCTTGAAATGCTGCCTCGCATTCTTGTGTCCACGCGAATCGCGCGCCGTTCTTGAGCGTTTGGAAGAAAGGGGCGCACTTGTCTGCTGACCTTGGTATGAATCTTCCCAGCGCCGCTATCTTGCCATTCAACGACTGTATTTCCAGCGCGCTCCTCGGCGCTCGCAGTTGCTGGACGGTGGTTATTTGTTTCGGGTCAACCTCGATCCCGCGCTTGGTGATCATGAACCCCAGAAATTTTCCAGCTTCTGCTCCAAACACGCACTTCAGAGGATTCAAGCGCAGACTGTGCCTGCGCATTGCCTCGAAAGTCTCGCGCAAATCTTCCAGGTGCGAGTTGCCTGCCTTGGTTTTGACGATGAGGTCGTCCACGTACGCTTCAATGTTCCGCCCGATCTGTCGCGAGAACACTGAGTCGATCATTCGCTGGTAGGTCGCGCCTGCGTTCTTCAAGCCGAACGGCATTCCGACGAAGCAGAAGTTCCCAAATGGCGTCATGAACGCCGTTTTTTCTTCATCCTCTCGAGACATCGGGATTTGGTGGTATCCCGAGAACATGTCTAGAAAGGACAACGTCTCATGATCCGCTGTGGCGTCAATCAGCTGGTCTATCCGCGGCAGAGGATAAGGGTCCCTCGGGCACACCTTGTTTAAGGTCGTATAGTCGACGCACATGCGCCAGGCTCCTGAAGATTTTTTTACTAGCACCACATTTGCCAACCACTTCGGATATTTCACCGGTCGGATCAGCCCCGCCGCGAGTAGACGCGCGACCTCTTCTTCTATGGCTTTCAACTTATCGCCTGAGAAGCCTCTGCGCGCCTGTTGCCTCGGTTCTGCATTCACGGGAACCGCGAGAGAGTGTTGCGCTACTTCTCTTGGCACTCCTGGCATGTCCTCCGTGCACCAGGCGAACATCTCCTTGCATTCTTTCAGCAATGCAATCAGTGGTTCAACCATGTCTCCAGGGACATGAGTTGAGACGCGGATCTTCTTCTCGGGCTCAGCTGGGTCGAGTGCTACCTCGAAATCAGAATCCATTGATTCTGGGCGCGGGTCTTCCGCCCGCGTGTCGACGATGTTGGTTTGACGGGGCTCTTCTTCTCTTCGTGGGGTCGCCCACGGGGTCCCTCTGGCCTCTCCGATTCCTACCTTGGTGGGGAATTTGAGCTTTTGGTGACACGTTGATGGCAGTGCCATAAACTTGGCGAGAAAGGGGCGTCCCAGGATGCCGTTGTGGTGGGAGTTGCAGTCGACGATAGTAAACTCGACTTGCTTGGATACTCGCGGCTCTTGATCTCCGATCACAACGGGAAGGGTGACCGCGCCGATTACTGCGACCCTCGTTCCTGAGAAACCGACCAGGTTTCCCTCCGCTCGCCTGATCAAGCGTGGATCAATGTCCATTTTGTCGAGGGTGCTTTTGAATAGTATATCTGCCGCGCTCCCTCCATCGATCAGGAGGCGATGAATTTTGCAGGCGGCTACTAGCGCGGTGATGGTTAGTGGGTCCTCTGATGGGGTTCCCTGAGGAAATTCCGAGTCGTCGAAACTTAGGTGACACCTTGGGCGTACTTCCGACGACGCGCATTCCATGGCGCGCTCGCGCTTGGTCTTTTTGGTTGGGCGGCTCCCCTCCACCGTCACTACACCGATTTCCTTCCGCACTAGGTAAGCGCCGGTTGCCTCATCGTATTCCGACTGCGGGGGAGGCGAGGGATCTTCGCGCGGCGCTTTCTGTCCTTCCGCCCCCTGGATAAACTATGACAGCAGCCCTCTCCGGATGAGTCCCTCTATTTCGTACCTCAGTTCCTTGCAGTCCTCCGTTGAATGGCCCGTTTCCCTATGGAACTCGCAATGTTTGTTCGGATTGCGCAGGTGAGGCGCGTCTTTGACAGGCGCGGGCCAATTGATTTTGTATCCCTTCTCACGGAGGACATGGAACACGTTTTTTACAGAATCATTGAGCGACGTGTAAGCGGGCATCGTGTTCTGCTGACGCCTGTCGGGGGAGCGTCTTCGCGGTAGTTGTTCTGGCGGGGCGAGTTGTCTTCTAGACCCGCTGTGGGACTGTAATAACTGTTCTCGGGGCAATCGGAGTTGCTTCCGCGTTTGGTCATCTCTGGGCGGCTTGGAAGGTTCAAAACGCCTGACAGAGCCCGCGCCCAGAGTTTCTTCTAGCGTGATAGCCTTCTCGATTTTGGCCTCGAGCTCCGTTGACAGCGTCACTGGCCTTTTCGCTATGGCGCGCTTGAGTTCCATGCTGGTCGTAGCGTCCATAAGGTGATGGGCGGCGGTCTCTGGAGTTAGGTCGCGCACCGCCATAGCTACTCTTGACCATCTGGCGTAGAACGCGCGCAGGCTTTCCCCATCCTTCTGCCTGATGTCGATCAGGGCCTTGAGGTGTAGGGGTCTCCTTTTATGTGACGCGAATTTGGTAGTAAAGAGGAGTATGAACTCTTCAAAGGAGCGGATGATTCCGTTCGGGAGTCTGTTGTACCAGTCGAGGCATATGCTGGAGAAAGTTGATGGGAAGGTCCGGCACAGTGCCGCGTTGGAGTTGGTTTGGAGCTGCATTCTGAGGCAAAATGTGCTGACGTGGTCTTCTGGGTCCGTCGTCCTGTTATACGTGGGGAGGGTGGGCGGCATTACGCTTAAATGCTCCGCCATTATGTCCGCGCTTAGCGGTTGGTGGAGGATTCTCTTAGGAGGGTGAGGGCGGTATTGTGGAGAAAGGTGCTGCTCCAAGAAACTGAGGTCCGCCCTAGGACGCGGCTCCACCTGGGGTGCCTCGTCCGCGGACGTGACGTCCGGGATATGTTGTGGCGGTGGGACGTTTGCCACGGTCGCGTCTGGCGCTGGCAGCGCCGCGTGACTGGGTTGCGCGGACTCTTTGCTCATCATGAGCGCTATAACCTGGTTCATTTTTTTTTGCATGTCGGCAATGACTTCGTTTTGCTTAGCCATCTGCTGCCTCATCTCCTTGGGCGTCAGCTCAGACTCTTCTTCTTCGATGAGTACCGCGTTGAAGTTGCTGGCCTCCGCGTGTGTCCTTTGGTTCTTCATAGCTTTGATGGGCGTTGCTTCGCTGGGTGAGTCGATATTGCGCTCCGTCGTCAGTTGGTTTTTCATCGCTTCCCTACTGGCCCCACGGTGGGCGCCAATTGTTTGAGTCTAACTGAGTGTAGGAGTGAGACTCGTGAGAAAAGGGGGGAGTAGGGTAAGCGAAGCGTAACGTCGGTTCGTTTTTGGTGAGAACTCTAGACGGAGAGGTAGAGATTACAGAGGAAATTGGCTAGAGAGAGAAAGCTGTGTTTATTAGTGAGAGAATCCAAAAACCGATCTCCTTACCTACCGTAGTAAATGCCCCTTTTATAGTATATTACAGTAGTGGGTATTTAATGCGATAAGACTACAACGTGTGTCAGGAGGCTTAGGCCATGCTTTTAGGCCATAATCATTCCTAGGACCTGACACACGACATGGCCTTTCCTTCGTAGACTGCGGCGCCATGCTTACGATCTTCCTCCCTTGTCTTAGGTAGGACAAAACGACGCCGGCTTGAGTGAGGCTTAAAACGGCGGTGGTTTTGGGCAGTGCAAAACGGCGGTGGTTTTGGGCAGTGCAAAACGACGTCGGCCTGGGCGGGATCGGACTGTGAGGTAAAACGACGCCGCTCGATACATCTGACATTGGCGGTCATCCTCTTGCCTCCATTCGGCTGTCTTGCTCGCGCGACTGGGCCCGAGCCACATCCCCAACAATTACCATTAACCTATACCTAATTTAGATAATTAATTAATTGTCCCCATTCGATTAAACAAGACAGTACTACCAGTATCATGATCAGTATGTGGTTTATATGGGCTTTACGTCGATGATTACCATTAACTTATGCCGTCTATACGTCGATGATTACCATTATCTTAAACCTAATTTAGATCATTAAATAATTTTCCTTAATTACCGAGAAACAATGCAACGCCTTACGTACGGTTCACATGAACTTGTTTTGAGTGGTTGGTTTCGGCCATGCATGCATTTATATATATATATATCCGTGCGCCAGATCATTATTGCCGAGTAGGTTAATGAAGTTAGAGCTGTAATTTGATTTGTTAATGAGGTTAGTAATAAAACCCTATTAATCGAATTACATAATGTTCTATAGTTTCAATTCAATTTAGAGTATCACTCGATCGGCCACCCTCAGTTAGACACAAGCTTTATAGATTCAAAATCCCATGGCAAAAGAATAAGTTTTGAATACGGATTAGAGTTAGACTATCTTGGTATGCACAAGATGACTAGAATGTTCGTGTTACATAGATATCATACATAGTCTGCTGAACAATTGTGTTAGATATTCATCAGTATTATGTAACAGTCTATTTTCAAGTTACTCCATTTTCGAACATATTTAATTTTTTTTTTCTCTCATTCGCACATTCAGATTGTAAGTTCTCTAGATACCCACGAGAGATCATTCAAACTTATGTTTTGATGAGGAAGAAACTTTGATTTGGACTTCGCAAATCGCAACTATCTGTGTTAGTATTAGGGGTGGCAATACGGTCCGGTTAAATTGGTCCAAATTGATCCGGTCCAGTCCGGTCTTTTTGAAAATATAAGGACCAAAGATTGGATTGGATACAGTCCGGTCTTGATCCGGTCCGGTTTTGATCTGGTCCGGTCCCAATTCGGTCTTGATTTTACATTGAGATTGTGGGATTTGAGTGGCCTAAGGCCTTAAAGGGTGAGGAGTTGGTTAAGTTTTGTACTAAGTGCAAAGGTTTGTGACCGTTTATGCAAATTACCATTAAGTTTTGGGTGTTGAGCTCTCTTATCCGGTCTTTATCCGGTTTTTTACCTCAAATCTAAGCCCAAAGATTGGATTGGATTGTTTACTATCCGGTCTCGGTCCGGGTTATACGGTCCGGTTTCCGGTTTTTAATCCGGTCCCGGTCCAAATAGCCACCCCTAGTTAGTATTGTGGTATATGATCCACGATTGAACTTCTCCCAACAACTCGAGTTATTGGGATCAACTGGTTCTTGACATGGTATCAGAGCTGGCTTGACCAAGTGGTCGTGTGTTCGAATCTCCACGACCCCCAATATTAACAGTTGATTAAAGCACAAGGTATGGTGGGCATGTGCAAACTTCAAGCCCATGGGTTGGCTTTCGTTTGAGGGGGCGTGTTAGTAATATTGTGGTATATGATCCACGATTGAACCTCTCCCAACAGTTCGAGTTATTGGGATCAACTGGTTCTTGACAATCTGTTGTGGTACACTTACTTAGTGATCATCCACCAACATCATGCCCATTTCTAGCAACAACAAACACATTTATCAACAACAACAAGAAAAAGCCTTACAAATAGCTATCACCCATTGCAACCAAAGAGCTAGCTAGAAAACGTCACCCTAGTCGTCATATACGTGCATAGAACCCCAGTCCATGCTAGCTTTTCCACTACGTAAAATAAAAGGCTGATTTGTGAGAGACAAGGAAGGAAGGAAGAAAGTCGTGGATCGATCGTCTCCTCGAGATTCATATGCGAAGAAATTAAATACGTAAAGAAGACATCGGGGGAAAGGAGAGTTCTTCTATAAGGATTGCTGCCACCAAGGTGAAGAAAGAAAAGAGGGTATTGTATTTGGGCCATGTGAAGGGTACATACTGGTAACTACTAGATGTCTAGGGTTCATAAACTTAACCCTAAACGGCAAATCTTACCCTTTCTGGAATGTTAGATGCACCTTTCCCCATCTAAACAAACACATTAACTAATCTTTCTCTGTGATATTGTGGGAAAGCTATGGTCCATGAAACCATGCAATTAGAGGGTGGGGGCCATCATAGTTTGACTAACAAGTCTCACCTTTCATTGGATCTCACCTATGGATATGCATTAAGATTGGGGTCAATTACATAATCAGTCATTGAAGTCTGGAGTTGCAAACAAATTGTCATGAAACATTCACCTTTAAGTTTGTCGTGGTCTAGAATAACCAATATAACAGTCACTTCGTCCATCTACGTTACTATCGTGCAAACTCTTTAATTAGCTATCAAGCAAGGGACAATGAGCGATCGATTGACGTGGTGTTTGATGATGTGGGTTGGAATTTAGTCGTACTTAAATCAGACGTATGAATTAGTTTCTTTGAAAAATCACACGGAGGAAGGGATTAACGTGACATGAAGCTTCCATTTTTTGTTGTAAAGTAGAGTGGGTTGAGATACAAGGGGCCAAGATTTAAGGAAGATGTTGGCAAATAAACTAGCTAGTTAAGGCGACATGGTTGGACTGATAACCAGCTAGCAAGCAAGCAAATATATATCCTTGGTAAGCAAGCAATCAAATCGAAAGGCCACTAGTTCTCCGTTCATGCTATCGAAGAAAAAGGTGACACTTGTAACATCACACATGATATGTACGTACGTGGGGTGTTTAAACTCCAACTTTACTCCTACACATGATGAAAAGATGTTGGAGATCAGATTGGGGATTAGGGTTTGAGGTGAAATGCGAGAATCAGAGAAGACCAGAAGAGGTCGAGAGATCGAGAGGAAGAGAGAGAGACTTTGCTTAAACTCTCTGATCAGAAATAATAAAGTGGGTCGAATAGTTGAGCAGGCCCAGCGAAGGAAATAATAGGAATAGTCTGAAAGCAACAGAATAAAAGCGAATGGGCTTCGAGTCCAATGCTCTGTCTGTTGATTTCTGTAACGGTCAGTACCAAAACTCTGGTTCTCATTCAACAATGAAGGAAGAACAGAGTACTGAAAACAGAGGACAGACAGCAACCAAAGAGACGAGCAGAAAGCTAAAGAACACGCTCCATTTTAACGTGGTTCGCCCAAGTGCAATGGTATACTTCCACGTCCCAGAATATGGTCTGGGAGGCCTTTTATTAATGATTAATTAACAAACAGAAAACACAAAGCTAGAAAGGAAGAAGCAACAAGAACACAAAAATAAACCCAGATCAATCTCCGATCTGTTTCAGCCTTGACGAAGGTTGAACCTCTACCTCAACCTTTCGTCAATCCCTTTTGTAAACCCTGTGCTATGCCCTTTACCACAATAGCTCTCACAAAAGTATTTGAATCCTCTGCATTAGGAGCATATAAATAGCCTGCAAGAAATAGCCGTTAGAATGAAACAGGAAACTCGGATTTCCAAAGGTACAGTTTCCTTTTGAGGCTGGCCGAGATTTGAGCAATCAGTCAATCCTCTGACTTGCTCTTCCAACAATTTCCCCCTAAGTCCGAGATTGCAGATTGCTCCTTACCTGTAAACAAAACCAGTCTTCCCACACAGGATCAAGCAGCAGGTAAAGAACACCCAATCTCAGACACGCAACACAATCATACACAGAAGAACAAAAAAAAAACAGTCCTTAGCTCCACCTGAGCTATTGGGACACGCAAATTAACAAAAATTATCAAACCATACCATCCACCATCCCGGAAAGAACCAGTACAATTCAAAGAGACACCTCACGCTCACTCAGATAAAAAAAACTTTAAAACTCAACATCAGAGTCTAAGCCATAAAGATCTCGAAGAGCAGCAGCAAAAGGTGCGAGAGCGAGAGGAGCTTTATCGCCAGGTTCTCCCTCAGGGTCAGCTACATCTTCAGGTGCTTCCTCTGCTTCAGGTTCTTCCTCGGAATCTGATATTCGGCTTTAATATATCGGATTCTTGGACTTTATGTGACTATCTCATGGTATGTTTAAGCCGATTGGTGATATTTTAGGGAGAATTAATCCGTAATGGTTGAAAAGCCAGTACCATTTTGTGTTGGAGTTTTGGTGTGTGTGTTAGGTGAAAAGATAGATGAAATGGCAGCACTGGAACTTCCGAAGCAGGAGATGGCGGGAGGAATTGGATCCATGTTTCTTCCACAACAAGTAATTGGGCCAAAGCCCAATTGATGGGTGGCTCATTCTTTGGGACGGAAAAAAAATTGGAAGAGGGATTCTCTTTTGGGGCAATTAATTTGGGCCGGAAATAAGCAGGAGGTGGCTTTTGGGTGGTTTTTGGCGGAATTAATTAGTGGGGGCAGAATTCTTTGGAAGCAATGAAAGCAGAGGAAGCGGCCAGGACAGGAATTATTTTGGACGCGAAAATTCTTCGAGGGAAAAAGAAAGAAAGGTGAAGGCAATTACGAGAGGAAGCTGGGGGGTTTTTAAGCGGCTGGGGAACAAAGGAATTATTGGCCAGGGGAACTATTTTTTGAGCGCATAGCGAAATTCTTTGGAAGGGAGCGGCGCAGGACAGCAAACGCGACCAGGCGATTCTCAATCGGCGATTGAGATTTCCAAGGCTACCTGAGCTGAGTTCAATGAGAGCGATTATTTGGTTGGAGTTTCTAAACCGAACTAGTTGTGTATTATTGATTTAGAATATGATGAACAAAACTCTATCGATTTATCTCAATTTCATCATGAACTAAATCCCAATTTCTGGGGGAAACACCATAGGATGTAGCTATTTCTTGATTTGATGGATTGATTTATGATTCTTTTCTTCGATTCTATTGCATGAAATTGCTTAATGCTTTGTGTTGACTGGCCACCAATACAACAATTTGTAGTTAATTAGGTTATTAGCGACAGTGAAACCCTAATAGCTGAACCTATTTCATGTGACATAGTAACTTATCGAAGCGACAGTGGATTAAATAAGGTGTTATGCGGTCTTAAATAGGATATCGATCTTCAGACTATATAGTTAATTCATTGAGCTACGACAGTAGGATTTGAATTGATTATTTAGTACATAGTAATTCCCGACAGGGATAGCTAGCACATTCGTGATATCCTGGCTGTAGAGGTATGGATTAAATTGATTGGAATATGTGAATTAATTTGGATATGATAGGTAGCGAGTCCCGGTGTTTCTCCCAGAGCTTTCTCCCATTGATTTTCTCCCGACAACTTTAATTTGCTTGTTTTGTTTAATTATTAGCTAGTAGTTTCATCACTCATACCATTTTCACTTATAGTTTGCTCCATAGAATTGATAAATTAAAAGATTGTACCGGTCCCTGAGAGACGATACCCGGACTTTCCGGTTTACTACGAGATAGGAAATTGGCATATACGCTTTTGCCCTATCAGAATCGCTGATGATCTAGTGCGCAAAAGGATCATAGGGATCATCCTCCCCCTCAATCGCAATCCCGATCTCTTCAAGCACATCAGCCGCAGTAAGCCAAAGAGTGGGCGTCTCAGTACGATAGGCTGACAGGTTCAAAGGTAATGCTAGCAGAAGACGGGTGATCATTGCTCCGAAGGATAAAGGAGCATGAAAATTATGATCGATAAAGGGAAGAAGAGCCCCAAACAATAGATGGGAGAAGTCTAACGGAACATCAGCTACAACATGAGACATGATCCATAGATCTAGAGGAATGACTCGATCAAGGAAAACGGTGCGAGGTAAGAACACTCTGGTGAGGAGATAGTGAAAGGTTTGCAGGGAAGGCATCAGGAGACCCGAAGAAAAGGTAAGGTCATGATCAGGTTCATGACCAGTGAGATGAACTGCTTCAGAGACCACGTCGAAATTGAACAGGGAGAGTTCAACAGGATGAGCAAGTGCTTCCCCAAAGGCAGGAATACGCAGTAGACGACTAATGTCATGAAGAGGAAGAGTAATCAAATGACCATGAACAAGAGTAGACAGAGTACGAGATTGGAGGACAAAGTAACGAAGGTTGGAAAAGAAGGTTCTTACTGCTTCAGGACAGATGAGAGTGGATGTGGCAACAGGAGTCAGCAGAAACTCCCAACCCAGGTTCTGAATGAGAGGCATAACATCTAATCCTAGAGGTACGAAGGCAGGGATATGAACAAGAGTGGAGGGATTGATGAGGCGGTTGGCAAAGGACTGAACATGACGGTGATAGTTCGCAAGGGCAGGCTCATGGAACATAGTTCCAGAGTAGGTTAGGGCAAAGGCATAAACCATGGCTGACTTAAGGGAAGATACGAACATAGACCTAGATGAAAAGAGGAACACAGACAGACACTAAAAGAAAACAAGCTCTCTCGGAAACTAAATAGACAAGACAAGCAAGACAGAAAAGGAAAATCAACAATCAATAATAAAGACGATTAAAAGAAAAGGAAAGACACACAGAACCAAGAATAGAAAAACAAAAAAAAAGGCAAAGAAAATAAGATCACACAGATACTAAGCTCCTAAGTCAGGAGTGATGGAGGTAAGAGATCGCAGACCGATCTCATAACAGAAGAAGGTGAATCGTTCAGTCAACAAAGGTTTAGTAAAAATATCCGCATGCTGATATTCCGAGCTTATATATTGCAAGTTTATAGTACCAAGGTTTACTAAATCCCGAATAAAGTGATATTTGATGTCAATATGTTTGGTGCGAGAGTGTTGCACAGGATTCTTAGACATACAAATAGCACTAGTATTATCACATAACAAGGGAATTGCTGACTGAATGACCCCATAGTTTTGGAGTTGACTTTTTAGCCACAAGAGTTGAGCACATGTGCTGCCAGCAGCAATGTACTCAGCTTCGGCTGTAGATACAGCCACAGCTCCTTGATTTTTACACGACCAAGACACTAAAGACGTTCCCACAAACCGACAACTACCAGAAGTGCTTCTCCGATCAGTCAGACTTCCTGCAAAGTCTGAGTCACTGTATCCAATAAGATCAAACTGATCATGTTTGGAATACCATATGCCTACATCCATTGTACCCTTGAGGTAACGAAAAATTCGTTTAACAGCAGACAAGTGACTCTCTTTTGGGTTTGACTGAAAACGAGCACATAAACATACACTATGTTGTATGTCAGGTCGACTGACAGTTAGATATAACAGAGAGCCAATCATTTTTCGATATTGAGATTCATCAACCGAGTTACCAGTCTCATCTTTACTTAGCTTGAGATTGACTGCCATAGGAGTAGGACTTGAGTTAAGACCAGTCAATCCAAACTTGGTTAACATAGATAAAACATACTTTGATTGACTTATAAAAGTACCAGAACTAAGTTGTTTGATTTGGAGTCCGAGGAAATTTTGTAATTCCCCCATCATACTCATTTCAAAATCCTTTTTCATGGCATCACAGAATTCAGAGCACAAGTCTTTACATGAAGCACCAAACACTATATCATCAACATATATTTGGACCAAGATAATATCCTTATCTTTACGTTTTATAAATAAGGTTTTGTCAACAGATCCTTGAGCAAAACCATGATCACACAAGAAAGATGTTAGTCTGTCATACCAAGCCCTAGGGGCTTGCTTGAGACCATACAAAGCTTTCTTCAGTTTGTACACATGGTTAGGGAACTGAGGATCAACAAACCCAGGGGGTTGTGAAACATACACTTCCTCCTGTATAACTCCATTTAAAAACGCGCTTTTCACGTCCATTTGGTAAAGAGGAAAACCCATGAAACAGGCATAAGCACACAATAACCTGATGGATTCTAACCTAGCTACAGGGGCAAAGGTTTCATCATAATCAACCCTTCCTCCTGAGAATATCCCTGAGCCACTAATCTGGCTTTGTTTCGAATGATAAACCCAAGTTCATCCGATTTATTTCTAAATATCCACTTAGTTCCTATAACATACTGGTGTATAGGACGAGGAACAGGTTCCCAAACATGCAACAATTCAAACTGAACTAGCTCTTCAATCATAGCTAAGGTCCATTCATCAATAGCAAGAGCTTCTTTATAGTTCTTAGGTTCAAACTGAGAAACATAAGCATATTGACCAGGGGTGTACTTACCTCTGGTTCGTAGACCATCATTAACATTACCAATGATGAGCTCTGCTGGATGGCGTTTTTGAATGTGTGATAGTGCTGCTATGTTGGTAGCACTAGGATCGTCCTTATTGCTTGCACCATTATCATCCTCCTTCCTTGACACTGAAGGAGTCTCCTTACTGCTTTTTGTTGTTTCCTCTGGATATGTTCGAACCATTTCCAGCATATCATAGTCTAGAATGCCCTGCTCAGAGTCCTTGCAAATAGTGTGAGTCTCATTGAATATTACGTGAACAGACTCTTCAACTTTTTGAGTCCGTTTATTATACACACGAAATGCTTGACCCTTTATTGAATATCCTAGAAAAATAGCTTTATCTGACTTGGCATCAAATTTACCAAGTTTGTCTTTGGTATTTAAAGTATGACAAGGACATCCAAAAAGATGGAAATATGACAGATTATGTGTCTTGTTTTTAAAAATTTCATAAGGAGTTTTGTTTAAACCTTTTCTTATCAAGACATGATTGACCACATGACAGGCTGTACTCACTGCCTCAACCCAAAAGAACTTTGGGAGATTGTATTCGAGGAGCATTGTTCGAGCACACTCAATGAGAGTTTGATTCTTTCTCTCAACACCTCCGTTCTGTTGGGGTGTCCGAGGAGCAGAAAACGTGTGATTAATACCTGACTCATTATAGCAGGTTTCAAATCTTCATAAATGAATTCCCCCCATTATCACTTTTAACAGTTTTGATCTTATGAGCAAACAAAGACACAAAGATCTTGAACTTAGACAGAGTGTCATCTTTGTGAGCAAGAAAATACACCCAAATGTATCTAGAGTAGTCATCCACAAGCACAAACACATAATTCTTTCCACTTAGGCTAGTGACGTTACATGGTCCAAAGAGATCCATGTGAATTAACTCAAACACTTCATGAGTTGTGATGCAGCCTTTGGTTTGAAAGATTTTCTAGAGTGCTTGCCACTAACACAGGTTTCCCAAAAGAAATCTGTCTTATCCTTTAGAACAGGAACTCCTCTAACTTTATTAGACTTTGTTAAACTTACCAACTTTGGTAAGCTAACATGTCCCATCTTTCGATGCCACAGAAGTACTTGTTGAAAAGAGGTGACAAAACACAGCTCATTAAAAGCACTCAGATTACTGAGATCGATCACATACATGTTATTTAATCTTTCACCAACAAACATGACCTTTTTATCTTTATCCCTTTTGACAACACATTTGTCAGTTTCAAACACAACATGAAATCCATTGCTACAAAGCTGACTAATGTACAAAAGATTATGTTTTAATCCCTCAACAAGCAGAACATTTCTGAACATAGGAAAAGGTTTTTCACCTATAGTTCTAGACCCAATTACCTGACCACATCCATTATCACCAAACCAGACCTTTCCTCCATTTACTGATTTTAAAGAAGAGAAAAGAAATTTCTTACCAGACATGTGGTGAGAACATCCACTGTCAAGATACCATTTGTGATCATTATTGACTGACTGAGATTCTGCTTCACAGTCTTCATGTTCATCCTTAGCCATGAATGCTTCATCTTCTGATTCTGGGTTCTCTTGTTCTGAGTCATAATCACTCCAGCTGGCTTTCATTGCTTTCTCCTTTGCTTTCAAGGTTTGAGGGCAACGTGCCCGGATATGCCCAAATTTGCCACATTTGTAGCAAGCCTGAGGTTCTCTTTCCTGCTGACCTGTTTCAGTTTTTCTGGTCTGCTGGGGTAGCAGCCTAGCTTGAGAGAAATTTTTAGTACGATCATAACTCCCATTTCTAGACTCATCTAGGTGATGTTTTTGATCATTTTTATATTTCAACATCCTATGGAAGCGTTTACTAACAAGAGCAAATTCCTTGTCGAAATCACTTTCTTCCTCACTTTCTGAATCATAATCCGCAAATTTAGTTTTGAAGGCTAAGTTTTTGTTACGCTTTTCATCTTCTTGACCAACCTGTTTTAATACATGCTCATGACTTAAGAGTGATCATATCAGCTCATTAATAGGTAAAGTGGTCAGGTTCTTAGCTTCTTCAATGGCGGTTCGCTTAGGAAGCCATTCTCTAGGCAAAGATCTGAGAATTTTCCTATTCAAATCCTTAGTTTGATACGTTTTTCCCAGCCTTTTTAGCTTGTTTATCAAGACAGTAAACCTAGAGTACATTTCATGAATTCCTTCACCCTTAATCATGCTAAAGGATTCATATTCATGAACTAAAAGATCTATACGAGATTCTTTTATGCTGGAGGTACCTTCATTGGTGCTTTCCAGGGCAGTCCATATCTCCAAAGCAGTTGAGCAGTTTTCGACTTGATCAGCTTCGTCCAGATTCATCGCCGATTGCAGCACATGCATCGCTCTCTAGTTTAGTTGCGCGCTCTTCTTTTGCGCCGCCGAACAGAAGCTTTGCTCTTCATCATTCATCTCTAAGGGGCCATTCTGCACAACCAACCAGAGCTCTTCGTCAACCCCCCACATAAATTGTTTCATCCTCTTCTTCCACGCGGTATAATTTGACCCGGTGAAAATCGGTGGATGATTGATAGCAACATGACCGAAGGAACCAGAAGCCATTGGATCGAAACCCTTGGCAGTAGTTAGCTTCGTCAAGGACCTGTGCTCTGATACCAATTGAAAAGATGTTGGAGATCAGATTGGGGATTAGGGTTTGAGGTGAAATGCGAGAATCAGAGAAGACCAGAAGAGGTCGAGAGATCGAGAGGAAGAGAGAGAGACTTTGCTTAAACTCTCTGATCAGAAATAATAAAGTGGGCCGAATAGTTGAGCAGGCCCAGCGAAGGAAATAATAGGAATAGTCTGAAAGCAACAGAATAAAAGCGAATGGGCTTTGAGTCCAATGCTCTGTCTATTGATTTCTGTAACGGTCAGTACCAAAACTCTGCTTCTCATTCAACAATGAAGGAAGAACAGAGTACCGAAAACAGAGGACAGATAGCAACCAAAGAGACGAGCAGAAAGCTAAAGAACACGCTCCATTTTTAACGTGGTTCGCCCAAGTGTAATGGTTTACTTCCACGTCCCAGAATATGGTCTGGGAGGCCTTTTATTAATGATTAATTAACAAACAGAAAATACAAAGCTAGAAAGGAAGAAGCTACAAGAACACGAAAATAAACCCAGATCAATCTCCGATCTGTTTCAGCCTTGACGAAGGTTGAACCTCTACCTCAACCTTTCGTCAATCCCTTTTATAAACCCTGTGCTATGCCCTTTACCACAATAGCTCTCACAAAAGTATTTGAATCCTCTGCCTTAGGAGCATATAAATAGCCTGCAAGAAATAGCCGTTAGAATGAAACAGGAAACTCGGATTTCCAAAGGTACAGTTTCCTTTTGAGGATGGCCGAGATTTGAGCAATCAGTCAATCCTCTGACTTGCTCTTCCAACACATGATTCCAACTTTGAAAATGCTAACAAATAAACTTAGGGTTCATTTGAAAGTTGTCGATTGTTAAATATATGTATTGTTGCAAATACACGTATGATATTATATATGTATTGTCGAATTTGATGCATTGTAAATACAACGTTTGGAATGTGTAATTGTGTATGTCATATTAGCTAAAAGTTGAGATATAACAATCACTCACATCAGAGAAACAATCCATGTATTGTTTCTGCTAAAAAATAAAAATAAAAACGACGCATTATAAATAATACATGTGTAATAACAATCTAGGCAAAACAATTGCAACTACCAAACGACCCTTTAGAAAACGTTGGAGTACGTATCACGGTCGCATGCAATAATATCTCTCTCACGATTACAGACGTAAGGCCAAGTCCAATGGGTACCTCATAAATGACGAAGCCGCCATTAATGGCAAAGTGAGCGCTCCAATGCAACTGTTAAAATGACGAGAGGCGCCATTTATAGGGATGTTCAGCAAAAGCATCGGCAGTTTTGGGGTTTTGGGGGAAAATAGCGATGGCGTGCGGCGACGCACCGCTCGGGCTGGCGGTTGCCGTGCCCACCAGCTAAATATATATATATAGTAGCTACTTCAGTGCACTCATAAAAATGAGTGCGTTCAGTGCACCCAACTCAAAAACTAGTCTTAAGGTGTCGGATTTTAATTTTTTTTTTGTAGAATTAGTGTAATATAATGAGATAACATATGATAACAACGAATTAGCGATTTATCCTAAGCCCTAGACCTCCAATTTTGAGTTCTATCCTAAACCCCAAATTGTAAACCCTAACCCTATCCCTAAATCTCTAAACTCTAAATCCTTCAAATTGAAGTAAATCTTTAATGGTTTTTGTGCAAATTCATGTACGTTATTGTTCATCGCATCATAAGTAATGATTGACATCATTTTGACATAAATTGCATGTTTAAAATGACGGTTATGAAGCGAGTGCACTGAATGCACCAAAAAAAGTGAGTGCACCAAAGACATCACCATATATATATATATATATATATATAATTGGTAATTAGTTGATTAATTAAGGAGAATAAATGCTTGTTTTTTGTCTCGGAATTAGGGTTGTTTGTAACCTATGATTTGTATCAAATTAGTTCAATCATTTTTTTTCCAAAACAAATTGGTCTCGGAATTTAAAAAAATTCTAGCGCAAAATTTGTTATTTAAAAATGATGACGAACTATAAAAAATTAATATGAGCAAATTATATTAAGACTTCCATAATAACATTTTCAAGTAAATAAAAAACAGGAAAAAAGAGATCCCTAAAGCATTGAAACAAAAGAGTTGAAAATGGAGATAATCCCCAAATTTGGCGACTAGGACTTAAGCCTAACAAACTCCAATGGGCCCAAAGCGTCCAACTAGCTAACCAGGATTGGACACCTAATTACTGGCCCGCTGTCATTACTATATGGCCAATACTACGGTGCCGCGCTAAAAAGTGCGGCACCAGTGACACCATTTTTTATTGGATCACGTGGCGCTGATGTGGCGGTCTGGGCTGGCTAATGAACATTGGTCCAAAGTCTGGTGGCCCATTAGAACTAGTCCAACCGACCTCTCCCAAACTAACGGAATTCAAATCTCCGTCCCTTTATTCTGTATTTGCTTTTCATTAAAGTAATTCTTTTGTCTCTTCTCACCCAAAAAAAAAAAATTTTGGCTCCCTCTCTGGCCGGTCGGCGGTCTCTATAAACCAATTTGGGCGACTTGTCCGTCATCGACCCAATCTCCAGAGGCGAAGGAATCCGACGTCTTCGTGGGCCTTTGTCTCCATCGATCTTTTTCGCCGGCATGGTATCCCAAATTCGAGAATAAGTTAAATACCTTCTGTTAGTCTTCCCATATAGCGAAAAAGAGGTGGCTGCTGGTGGTTGTTCCGCTTTGGATCAGTTTTCGCCTAGATAAATGAAATCGATCGTTGCTCCTCTGATCGTTTGCTGCTTCCTAGTCTGTTGTAAATTTTCTGATACTTGCTGCTACCTATAGAAACCTCCAAGCTTTTCGAGTAAAGGTCCTTGGTGTATCCAACTCGGCTGTGTATGCTTAATGTCCCACCGAGTCACCAACGACACCAACCCAATCGAGATATTTCCTTCCTAGCTACGGCGCGATCCGCTGCCTGTCTCCCACAAAGTAAAGTATCTCCCTCCCTCTTCCTCTACGGCAAGCAAAGAAGACCATAAATCAGTTGCGAAATTAAAACCCCAATTATAGGGATCCTAGTGTTGGAGGAATGAACGGTGGCTTGTGAAAATTCAATCATCCATCATAATTCTCTTATTTCCCCAGCTGGGTATTTATAAGAACTATAAACTAATCCGGAAGTTCAAAGGAAAACGAAGCACTAAAAGATTGATTGACCAACCTGGCTCAAGTCGAAACCTTGTGCTGTTCGCTGGAGACAGAGGCCCGCGAACACGATTGATTCTTTCGCCTCTGTTCTACCAAAAATGTAGGACAGTAGGAGGAAACAGTGACGGATTTAAATCAGGGCTTGACCTCGGAGATGGGGTTGACGACGGACAAGTCGCCGGACTGATTTTGGCCAGACCGCCGTAGGAGATCGAGGAATGGTGCTTTGGCTCGTTAGATCGTCTACCCGCTGTTCCCCTGTTTCTGGTTCTTTCGAAAAAATAAAACTAATATCAAATTTTTTTTTTAATGACACAATGAACGTTGGATGGAGAAGGTTTTTCCGTTAGTTTTGGGTTAGTGGTTAGTACTCATGGGCCAGCCGGCCAGGATTGGGTAAATGAATCCAGTCACTGCCACATCAGCACCATGTGGCCCAATCAGAAACGGCGTCACCGGTGCCGCACTTTTTAGTGCGGCACTGTAGTATTGGCCTTACTATATTGGAAAGAACACGGCCGGACCTCCGCTACGGCAAAGGCTCGTGAGCACGCTGACGATCGGCTTAAGCTTGAAAGTTCTCTTGAATTAATCCGCCATCACCCAGCCAGTATTAATAAAGCGAAGGTATTTTATATACTTCCACTGATAAAAAGACAAAAAAGAAAAGAAAACAAACAAACAAACACTAACTACCTACCACTGGACTCCCATGATTCACCCTCTCCTCCTTTTGCTAGTTAGCTCTATATATATATATATGGTGACTTCTACGGTTCTCAGGGCAAAATCCGGGTACGGGTACCTTGGCCGATCTTAACCATTCGTTTTCAATCTCCACGGCTCACGTTTGTTAAACCTTCCTGCGCACTAAATAACTAAACAAATTACAAAAAGGCTCTTGCCGCGTTAAGTTTTTTTTCATCCTTGTCCAACTAACTGACCCGATTAAATTAAATTGATTAAGACTGCAAACCCAATTGGGTAGACCCACTGCCGCCCTAACCAATTTCCAGTCTCCCTAACCAATTACACGATCCCTCTCTCGTCTTGGAGGGACACCCCTTCACAGTTCCAAGAGACGCTCCCCATCCAATTTGAACTCCCCAACTTAATCATCTTTTTGAATCCCAATTACTTGCATCCACATTTGACGTAGCTTGAATTTCCCAATTTATTTTGTCTTGTTTCTTCTTCACCATTTTATTTCCCCTCGCCTATCTCTTTCTAACACGATTACGGAGACCGTGTCTATTATTTTGTTCATCGAACTTTTCATTTGCAAAAGAACCCTTGAAAGAGGTTTGCTAACCCTAGGGTTCATGTCGCTAGTGCTTTGTCATCTTGTCTTAGCGTTATTGTGATTTTCTCGAACCTTATATCTCTCGGTGAAATTTAGGTTTCGTGATATGTAGTGTTCGTCTCGCCCAGAGGATTGAGGAAGAAGATGAAGAACACATAATTTGATTCGAATCGGATGGAGAGGTCTCCTTAGTTTGTGTTTATGTATTAACGGTGCGTTTAGGAGTAATTCTAGTTGGACTAGGTCTGATCACTGATTTTTGCAGGCTTTTAAATAAGATTCAAACGTGGGCTTGTACATGACCCATGCAATATTCAAAAGTGGGCCTGGAACGTGCGAGCCCATTTGTTTTCTCCTGCAGTATCAATTCGTGCGCCAACCCTAGTTTAACTAGCTTTACTTACCCTAGTTTAAGCTACACGAGTTAACATCATCATTACTACATATCTTCCGAAATCTTCTAACTCTTGACATTCCAGACTCAACCGTCTCCATCACACTCACGTCCCACACTCAACCCCCACGATCACTTTTTCTTACACCTACATTCTCTCTTTCCTTCATCTTCACCTTCCCTTGTTCCTTCTTCCTCTGACTCCATGGCAAACAAAGGTAAATCTTTTGCGGAAATGGGGATACTATCTCTTTCAAACGATGACTGCCGATCCACCCCAAGTCTCGGGGACTATCTTTCATTCACAAGCAAGACATCAATTGTGGCCGAGTACGAGTTCATCCACCTGAGTCCTTTCCCTGCAGAAGTGAAGAAGTTAATTAAAAATCTTGGCTGGGAAAAGTTCATTGATCTCCGGAGTCGAGGAAGCACCAGTTACTGCCCGCATGTGGTGAGGAAGTTCTACCACAATTTAGAGTTGTCTGGTCCCTGCGATTCTCATCTCGTGTCGATCTTCCTGGGTTATAGAGTCTGCTTCCAGCCTCATCAGTTTGCTGAGATCCTCGATCTCCCCGCCGCAGGACACCCCATTGATAACAGAAGCGATCTTGGGAGGCTGTACGATTTTGAGTTTGAAGTTGAACTGGAGAAACTGACGAAGGGGCGCATCCAGGCTTCTTTCCTCCCAGATCCTCTTCGATTCCTCCACTGGATGATCGTCAACTGCTTCATGCCAAGGTACCGTGGTCATTCGATTATTCGTAAACTTGACCTGTTTATCCTTGTGCAAGCTCAAAGAGGTGTTCCTGTTAACCTCGCATCTCTCATGTGCCTGAACATGGTTGAGGCTGCTCCTAGAGGGGGAAACTGGTACACTGCCTTTCCATATGCCACCTTCTTGACCACCTTTCTTGAAAGGGTTGGGATGGATATGGGGGTTTATGCTAAGGAGGACCAGTGCGCCTATTTGCCAGTCTACCGTATCGTCGAATTGACCAATACTTTTATTGATCTTCGGCATACGGAGCATGAAGAGACCCCTGAGGCATCCTCAAGCAAACGTCCTCGGCTTACATGAGAGTCGATTGATGCAGGGCGGGGTGGAGCGTTGGAGCAGCAAAGGGGCCAGCATTGGATGTCTTTTGTTAATAAGTTTACTCAGGCTTTGTTGGTTTTTTTTTCCAGTCTTATTCTCCAGCACTCAAAATTGTCAGGTACTGAGGGGAGCCAGTACATCATCTGACTAGGAAAGTCTCCCATTTTTTTAATTATCCAGACAAATATTTTCCTAAGACAGGTGACGAGATGCAGTAATGGTCATCCCTAAGCAAGGAGGTGCAATTGCATCCTACACTTGCTATGATGTGAGAAGCTATTGCAAGGGTGCAAATTTGCTTGCAATTGAAATTGGCCCACGAGTGGGGACCATTGATGAAATTGCAATGTTTTCTCAAAATTATAGAAGTGGAAGTAGGGGACTACCTATGAAATTGCAAATGAATTTCATTGTGGGAGATTTTAATCCGCTTTTGTTCTAAGCAGTTCCAATTAGGTCGAAGAATGTGTTACTTATTTATTCTTCATTTTTAATGGTTTTCGAAAATTATGGTTTTATTTATATTTGGTCACAAGTATAGTGACGATGATAGGCGTGAATAGTATGGATATGGCTTGAGTATAATGATTTTTTATCTATGGTGATTTTTTCCCCCTTTTTCATCAAGACTCATGCTTCTTTTACCCCCCTGTGAATCTATCATGCTTCGTTTATAGTAAAATATCCTTTTAATTATACACAATAAAGAATCCATTAATTATGTAAGCCTTTTTATTGTATTTAATACTACAATGAATTCTCTGACTAAAAGGGGAGTGAAAACATCGTTGGTGGAAATTCAAGGAATGGAAGCCTTTCCATATCCTAGGAACATTAAATTAATTACATAAGAATTTTCTATCTGCCTTGTACGGGGTTCGGTCATTAATTATACTAATTGGGAGCCAATCAGTTGTACCTTTTGGGTTACCTATACATGAATGCAAATTTAATTATACGATTGGGAGCCAATCAGTTTAACTATACATGATCCCAATTAAACCTCTCTACAAGATACAATGGCTTGAAGCCTTGAACAGAAGCAGCCTCACTCACAAGTTGGAAGCTGGAATTTTGGTGAAGTCCCTTTGCCATTTCCACGAAAAAACAAACCAAACCAAACCAAATATAGAAAGCATTCACAAAGACCAAAAACCAAACCAAAAACCAAACATAAAAAGCATTCACCAAACCAAACCAAAAACCAAATATAAAAAGCATTCACCAAACCAAAAACGAAATATAAAAACCAAAAATAAAAAGCATTCACCGAACCAAATAAAAAACGGTTGTCCATCATCCTGAGAAAAAAAAACATAACTGTTGTCCATCATCTTGCAAACTAAAACGAAAAATCAGGTTGTTCTTGGGCTCGTTGACTGGGTTTCCTTGTGCTCTTCTCTTTCCTTTTTCCTCCTTTCATGGGTTTTCTTGTACTCTTCCACTGCAGCTTCAACTTGAGGTGCAACTCTTCTTGCTTCCGTGACCACCATATGCTTTATGTAGTTCATGGGCTCTCGAACAAGGTACAAAGCGATCTGCATCCTCCTCACTTTAGTGCATGGCTAACAACATCAACAAACATGGTGCTTACCGCATGATTCAAAAATAACAATCAATTGTGGTTTTCTAATATGCGAATTAGAATTGTCTTTACCCAAATATAAGAGGAGTCCCAGCTTGCGCCATACATCCACATGCATACCCATACTCCACTGTCATACCTACATAAAATAAAAGCATTGCGTGATAAGAGCCAAGTTGATAAGTCGTCGTTTAATATCACAAAAAATGGGCATACTTACCGATGAAGTTGTTCTTGATCCTTTGAAGGATTTGGGTACGAAAACTCCGCAATCCTTGGTGGCGACAATCCCGGACCTTGTTCACGATAGAGAATCTTCCACAAGGCTTGCATAAATCTCATCTGTACAAATTAAGAAACGTTTGTACTTAGAAAGAGTTATTTACATTTTTTTGCGTTATAACGGCACAATGTCACAAATTTACCATTGTTTGAACAGATTGTAGTCGAAAGGAATTGCGGTCTTCATTTGGTTGTGGATCCAAGATATGGACTTCTTCCTTGTCCAACTTCATGACAGCCAAGTACCAATGGGCATTATCTCTCATCGGAACACACACCTACATATGCGGAAATTGTCAACACGTATTAAAAAATAAACTGCAAACCATGTAATACTTATTAAGACGAACAGTTTACCTTGTTCACCATATTGGTTTGACTAAGGAATTTTGATTCGTATAGGTCTAATGCCCTCTTGGGTGTTATTCCACATGAAATCACTAGTTCCTGCCCATGTGGTAGTTGCACAATTGAAATTTTGTCAACACAATATGATTCACGTTAAAAACACATGTGTTGTAATTTTTTTGGTGAGAGGAAATTGTCATTAAATATAATCGGACCACAACCTGTAGTTCAGCAGGCAGATAGCACACTCCTTTTCCGTCCTTGGAATTTGTCCACAACTCTTCTAGAGTCAAGTGGCAGGCCATCGCTGTTATAACCTAATATAACATGGACAAAAAACACTTCATGATACTATCGAGTTGTTATAAAATAATTCTACGTAGAAAGCATTGATAGTGCTATTTGTTATTAAACCTAAAATTAAAAATATACTTTTTTCGATCGAATAAAGAATTGAGTGCTATTAGTAAATATTTGCTCATATTAATATTTGATCCTTCCCCATACATGTAGTACACAGCTAGAGTCAGCTGGCGTTTGGCTTTACTAAGAAAGGTTTTTCATTTTAAATATTTTCGTTATTTGTGAAAATGGTAAAGAAATCACTAAGATAAAGAACAGAAAGTTCAACTCGTTCCTACCAAAAATATAAGATATCACAAATCGTGTTATTAATGGGGATAATTATTAAGTGCCCCATTGAAGCATTAATTCGGCCATCATTCCCAGTAGGGTTTTGTAATCTACGTCCTTGGTTCCCCAAAATTTCCAGCAGTGACAATGACGTCGGCGGCAAACTCACCATTGACGTCGGAGGAAGTCCTAGTATTGACGTCGGAGGAAGTCCAAGAAAACGCTGGTGCCGGAGCCAGTGACACCACCCAGGATGATAATGTCGTCGATCTCATATTTCTACAGCCTGAAGATATTAAAAAAATGAAGTTCGATGATACAGAAGAAGCCTATGATTTTTACATGGACTACGGGTTAGTCAAAGGCTTCGACATCAGAAAATCAGACATTGGTCGTGATAAGAACAAAGTTATGATATGGCGAGACTATGTATGCTCTGGCGAGGGAAAGAGGCGCGTGAAGAGCACAGAACGAAAGAGAGAAGCAAGAGGGGAGACCAGATTTAACTGCAGAGCCAAGATGTGTGTTAAACAAGACAATGTCGATGGGAAGTGGTATGTGCACCAGTTTGATGATGTACACACACATGAAACGATCCCCAGAGAATATAGACACTACATGAAAGGGAAACGTCGTATGAGTGATGCAGTCAAAGCAGCGATAAATTTTAGAAGAGCTGTAGGTATGAAAACTTCTCAAATTGTGAATCTGGCCGTATCAGAAGCAGGAGGCTACGACAATTTGGGGTACACGAGGAAGGATGCATATAATTATGTGGACAAAGAGAGGAAAAAACAAATCAGTGAAGGTGATGCCGCAACGAGCATTTCGTTATTGAACTAAAGAAGGATGACGACAACCGGCTTATTAACATTTTCTGGGCCGATAGTATTTCTGTTGCTGATTATGCATGCTTTGGAGAATTACTGTCATTCGATGCTACTTACAAAAGGAACATTTACCAGATGCCTGACACGCCAAAACACAACACCAATCTGCGACCAAGTGTAATCGCAGACCGGGAATGCAGTAACAGGCAAGTTATATTATCAACCCGGGCTCTAGATCTACTGCTTACTCAGTGATTCTCTGTTATCTAGCCAACTAAAGTAAGTGATTGTTGTTTAAACTAAAAGCAGAAATAAAGCAGGAAATTATTCGGTTTTCTTAAGCAGGAAAGAGTCACTCGGGAATGAATCCCCCTAGCTCTTTAGTTAGGTTTCAATTGCAATTTACCCTGGGTTGATTTACTGTTGATTAAACTGCGGAAGATCCGACAGTAGCTTGGAATCTCTTAAGCTGACCAAGCCCTCTCAGTCTAACTACCCGGCAGACGACTAGTCTTCACCGGGATAGAAAGCTGAAGCAGTAAGAACAGAAATTCACTACTGGAATTAGATTCCAGTACAAAGCAGTAAACTGGCTACCTCTCGTATAGCCAATCTCCTACTATCGAATGATGAGACTCTAGCAACCTAATCAGATTCTATCTATCTCAGATTGCAGCAGGAATCAGGAAAAGTTGATCAGACTTCAATTGACTCAATAAACATGCATCATTCGATTATAATCAAACAGTAATATCATCCCAAGTCATTACAATCAATCCCCTAACACATAGAACTAGGGTTCTTCATCCCCAAGTGAGAGAGAGGTTCTACTCCATAGAGGGAGAAAAGAAAACAGTAATCGGAGTAGTCATACTCATAATGATGAGGAAAATCTGCTCCGGGATGATGATTTCCACTCCTAGGACGCTCTCCAAGCTTGATTTGATGAAACCCAGCTCCAAGATGGCTTCTAGGGTGAGTTCTTCGCACTTTCTCTCTCTAAAACTCTGTTTTTGCTCAAGGAATTCGATCCCCTCTCTTGCAGCCCGGAATTGGGTTAAAACCAGGAAATCCCAACTCACACGGGCAGGGCCACACGGCCGTGTGGCATACCCAGTTGCCCGTGTGAGTCAAAACGCACCGTATCACTTAAGTTCGATCTTCAGGCTTCTCACACGGCCAGGATGGCACGGCCGTGTTTGATTTCCATCTGCCCGTGTCTGCTCACGGCAAAAGTCACACGGCCAGAGCACTTTGTCACACGGCCGTGTGAAATGTCAGGGCAGGCCGTGTTTGCTCTCGGCAAAACACACACGGCCAGAAATATGAGCCGCACGGCCATGTGATTTGTGGGTGTGCCCGTGTGGCCTCCTTTGTACCTCGCCACGCGTCC